GGCCTGCCCTGCGGCGACCTGGAGACCCTCCTTCTCTTGAGATGTTGGTGACGGTGGCGCTTAAAGCTCCAGCGGTGGAGGCATCGTGTCATCTGTTTCATGCCTCCTCCTGCTGCCCACGTGTCTCGAGGAGGCTATTTTCACCCCATTCTCCTGTGGGCCCCTCCTCCCACCCCTCCTGACCGCTGGTCCGCAGTGTCAGCCCCGCCGGCCGGGGTCAGGGGCGTCCGAAACGCACTGTCACGGTAGGGCTGCGGGGGGCAGAGCAAATGCCGAGCAGCCGGCCTCTCCGAGCTGCTGTAGGAAGCGTCTGGGGTGGCCGGGGGTTGAGGTTCGCTCGGTGGGGAAGGCCAGCATCTCCAGTCCTGTCCCGTGTCCTGGAGCCGCTCCCCTGTACTCCCCCCAGAGGCTAAGCTACAACTTGGATGGCGTAGGCTTGGCTCTTTATCTCACACAGGAGTGGCTGGGGAGGTGCGTGCCATCTCGTCGGAAGTGTGTGCGAGGAAACGTATTGTGTCAGCTCCTGGGAATGTATTTTACAGCCTGGCCGCGAACCCTAGTGACCCGGACCTCCCCCCTCCCTCCTCCCTCCCTCGCCTCCCCTGGGAGTGCGGGGTCCTGATCTGCAGCCCAGGAATCAGGCTTCCGAAGAGAGAAACGGGGCCCTGGGGTGCGGTCGGGGTATGTACATCATCATGACCAGGAAAAGCATGTGTGGGTCTGGGTTTCATCTCTTGCTTTTCGCACAATGGAGGGATGTTTTCTGTTAGGGCTTGAATCATCCGTCCACATACTAATGTGACTTGTACAAACCATGACATCTTCCCCAAAGAATGTGCTCTGTGGATGTTCACAGCAATTCCTTGGGGACTCCTTGCTGCCTCTCAACAGCCGGAGCGGCAGATTCTCAGGACTCAGAATAGACGTGGGCTTTCCGCTGGGACATGGTGGATGTGGTGGAGTCAGTGCTGAGGCTGAGCGGTGGCTGTCCGTCCTCCTGACAGGAGAGCGACAAGGAGAGGCCTTGCTCTCTCCCCTCTGATTCTGATGCAGCCAGCCCGCGGTCGGTCTCCCCAGCAGCTGCCTGCGCAGAGCTGTCATCCCCGCGCTGTGGCCCAGGCCCTGTGCTCAGCCTGAGTCACTCAGGGCCACCTGGGGTCCCAAGTCTTCCCTCCCAGAGAGCACCGCCGCCTGTTCTGAGGCAGCCCAGCCAGCTATGCGCGGAGGCCGGAGGCCGGGAAGTGTTTGGGAGTCGGCCTACCTCCCGGCCGTAGCCCTATAAGGGAAAGTATGTTGGGGCCTTGCCGCGTGGCAGCTCCGTGCTCCCTGCCGCATGAGTCGTGTCCCTCACTGAGCCCCTCCGAGTGCTCCCCCTGGCGCCTGCCCCAGCGGAGAGGCCTGCCCAGGTGCCACCAGCCAGCTTGAGAGATGAACTGTCAGAGCGCCCGCCCTGGGCTGCCTGTGCTCTGGGAATGCCACACGGAGCAGCTGCTATTGAGGACGGGCTCTGGTATTCTCTCTGCGCCCTTCTCTTCCCAACACACCCCAGGACGCTGGTCTGTCACGGAGATCTGGGAACCAGCCACGTCTGTGGGGGGCTAGCTTCCCTGGCAGGCCTCGTGCTGGGCCCTCTCGGTGCAGAGGGAGGTCACACGGAGGCCCCTGACCAGACGGCCCCCGACGGGGGAGGAGACAGTCACCGCAGTCACAGCTGGTCAGGCTGACCAAGGGGAGCCGAGGTGCTGGTAGCCGAGCTGAGCGTGGACGGGTACAAGGCGAGTTGGGGTGTGTGTGTGGGACCAGCCAGGGAGGCACCGGTGAGGGTGCACCCGCAGAGAGCAGCAGGGAGCGCCGAGGTCATCGTGGGAAGCAGCCCGATGCGTGCCGGGAAACTGCCTCATTCAGACGAGCTTAGGGACGCAGGGGCGGGAGGGGAAGGAGATGGGCTGGACAAGGAGGCAGCGGCGGGGAGCCCGGTACAGGTCGGCGGAAGGCATTGCAAAGAGGAGGCCGGGGACAGGGTGGGTCAGGGAAGCAGGCTGGTCCTGGGCCAGCCATGTGTCACAGATGTCTTCTTCCCTGGGGCCTCAGAGGTGGCCCCGAGTCCTCACTGAGGGACGGGACAGGGGCTCTGTGAAGCCAGTGCCGGCCCCGCCTCTGAGACGCAGCAGGAGGCTCCGTGGCGGCGGCGGGCCAGCAGCGAAGGGCGGCTCCCCAGGTCCCGGGACGCGTGGAACCGGGGGCGTGCGGGCCACCACTCGGGCCTCCCTCTCCAGGGCCGCAGGCTTTTGTTTCTCTTCGTCTCCTCCATCCGTCCTTTCCGTTTACATCTGAGTCCGAGTCGAAGTTGGACGATCTTTTCCCCACACCAAGGTTATAAAAGAAGGCACCTCCTCTCCGCAAGGACTTAATGCTTGCACTTTTTGGCCTTTTGATTCTCAAGTGTCTTTATAGTTCTTTCTGGATATGATCTAAGGTAAGTGTCCGGTTTCATTTATTTTTCCCATTTCGACAAGTCGTCCTGCTCTCAGGATGAGGCCTGTCGTTGCCCTGGCTCTGAGGCCCGGCACGCGCGGATGCTGTGCCCGCCGGCAGTTGTGCCCGCGCCTCCATCAGCGTCTTCAGCTGCGGAGGGTGCTGGAGCTGGAGGAAGAGCAGGTTGGGAAGGAATCCCCGCAACCAGCAGTTCCCGGACTGTCTCTTAGGACTTTTTGGTCTTAAAATACGGAGTGAAGACCCGAGGAGCTGCATTTGTGTGGGGACACCGCAGGCACTCGCCTTGCAGGAACTCAGAGCTGGCAGGCTCGTTAGCGCCTCATATAAGAGATGATGTGTATTTCTGAGCAGTGGCCGTGCTCAGCTACGAGGTGGCTGAGAGCGCACCGCGGCTGCTTCTGCGGAGGTCGCGGACGCAGGCCGGCCTCCCGGAGGCGAGCGGCTCTCCCCTGCGTCTGTGCCGAGCGCCCCGAGACCTGGTTCTGGTGGGAGCACATGAGCAAGCTGGCCCCCGCAGACATGTGGTTGGAAAGACGAGTATCTTAGGGCCTTTTCAGAAAATCGTGGGTCGTTTTCTTTGATTCTACACCCAAACTTGACAAGTGCTAGTTCCTTAAGGTGATCTGCAGTGTGGACTCCAGAGCCATAGCGAAAGGAGCACTTCAGCCTGGCCGGGTGGCTCAGTGGGTGAGCATCGACCTATGAACCAGGAGGTCACGGTTCCATACCGGTCAGGCTACATGCCTGGGTTGCAGGCTCAATCCCCAGTAGGGGCGTGCAGGAGGCAGCCAGTCCATGATTCTCTCTCATCATTTATGTTTCTGTCTCTCTCTCCTTCTCCCTTCCTCCCTCTCTGAAATGAATAAAAAAATATTTTTAAAAGACACTGCATTCTGCTGTGTTAGAGCACTTTGCCTGATGCACGTGAAGGGGTCCCACCCGCGCATGGCCGTGTGGCGTCGTGGCTCACTGAGCGGTGCCGACCTTCCCAGTGCTGGCCGCTGCATGACACGGATCAGAAAACCACGCTTTCCCGCAAGGCAGCCAGCTGAGAAGTGGCTCCCTCTGCCCCTCCCCTCCCCCGGGCATTAAAGAAGTGTGTCCTCAAGGGTTTGGAGATGGAATAAAAGCAGTGGGTTTCCTGCTTCATCAGAGTCACCAGACACTTCCGAGCGAAAGCGTTGGTTTTATTTTGGGGCCGCAGGTGTGTGGTGCAGTACAGTGGCCACCGGTACATGTGGGGTCGCTGCTTTGACTAAGAGGCCACCCTCGCGTTTGCACCGGGAGTGCAGAAAAAGGCAAATAGCGCCTTAATGTGATGAGAACAGCGCGATCCTAAAAGGAGTCCGGTCCGGCAGAGTTTAGAGCAGCCGTGGGCAAACTACGGCCCTCGGGCCGGATCCGGCCCGTTTGAAATGAATAAAACTAAAAAAAAAAAAAAAAAAAGACCGTACCCTTTTATGTAATGATGTTTACTTTGAATTTGTATTAGTTCACACAAACACTCCATCCATGCTTTTGTTCCGGCCCTCCGGTCCAGTTTAAGAACCCATTGTGGCCCGCGAGTCAAAAAGTTTGCCCACCCCTGGGTTAGAGGCATGATTTGAAACTTGCTGATACCCTAGCCAGTGTGGCGCAGTGACTAGAGCGTCAGCCCGAGGACTAAAGGGTCCCGGGTTCGATTCTGGTCAAGGGCACGTACCTCAGTTTCAGGCTTGATTCCCGGGCCTGGCTAGGGCACGAGTGGGAGGCAACCAATCCATGTGTCTCTCTCCCATCAGGGTTTCTCTCTTTGTCTCTCCCTCTCCCTTCCACTCTCTTAAAAAATCAATGGAAAAGTATCCTCGGGTGAGGATTAACAAAAACAAACAAACAGAAGACTTGCTGATGATTTAAATCTTTCTAATGATTTAAAACTTGCTCATGATTTAAAACGTGCTGACATCGCCACGCAGCCTGTCTGTGGACATCAAGGGAAGGGCTGCCCAGCCCTAGAAGGAAGACGCGGTGGGAAGCAGGCCTGACCGTGCCCTGGAAGCCCTCCTGGCCTCCCGCATCCCTGTGGCAACCGTGTAACCACGTGCACAGCCTTTGTGCGGGGAGCCAGCCCGACAAAAGCAGAGTCGGGTCTGAGTTTCCGAAACCAGGTCCTAGTGGTTCTTGGAAAACTGCTTGGCATTTGAAACTCAGTCTCCTCCTTGACATTGGAATTTAATATGGTGCAAATGACACCAGGGGTGATGTCAGGCTTGACTCCATCTGCCGGCGACGTGGCTTGGGCGCCTCCCAGCCGAGCATGCTGCCTGGGAGCAAGTGCAGGGGTAGCACGCGTGTCCGGAAGAGGGTGCGTGACGCTGTTGGGGGGCCTGGTTCCAGCAGGCCTGTTCACGTGGGAACGCCGTATTCAACCAGCAAGGAAGCGAAAGGCTTTGAGTCAGATTGGCATTTGTATTTTGACTTTTGCAAATCAGCGCGTCTAATAACACCTTCCTCCCTTGTTTCAGCAATGGAGGAGTTAATAGTGGAACTTCGTCTCTTTCTTGAACTCCTGGACCACGAATACCTAACGTCCACGGTCAGGGAGAAGAAGGCCGTGATCGCGGACATCCTGCTCAGGATACAGGCCTCCAGAGGTTCGTGCCCCCCCCACCCTCCCCATCCCCTTGGCCTCGCACATCTCTAGCCCCACCCTTTCCTAGAACATAGTCCTTGGTTTAGTAGCGTAGGAGTTTGTTCAATCAGGAAGTTGTCACTGAAGGTCTTAGTGTTTGCCAGGTGCTAGCCTTTAAGGAGATAAAGGAACAGTGGGTGTGTTGGGGGCCCCCAGAGCACCCCATCCTTTGGAGATTCACTGGGAGGACTCAGCATATAATGGTACCTTCTCATGCCCAGGATTTGTTTGTTACAGGGGCAGGGAGGGTGCACAGGCAGGTGGAGGGGAAAGGCGGCGTGGACTGGAGGAGCCGAGTGCAGCCTTCCCTATGCCGGTCCCTCCCTGGTGTCGCACGGAGCTTGGCCTTCCCTCAGCAGAACAAGCACAGCCACCTGTGAGCCCCCGAATCCCAGAATCCCAGAAAAGGGTGTGTCAGGGTGACAGAGAAACGGAGCCAATGGGAGAGAGGGAGAGAGAGAGGGAGGCGGGAGAGAGAGAGAGAGGAGAGAGGAGATTAACTTAGGGGCTGGCTTTTGTGGCTATGGAGGCTGAGAAGGCCCTCGATCTCGCTGCAGGGAGAGACCAGGACAGCGGCGGGGGGTTAGCTCGGTCGGGAGGCCTGGAATCGGGCTGGTAGGGTGAGTCCTGATCTGAGTCCAAAGCGCCAGACCCAGCAGGAGGAGAGGGATGTCCCAGTCCAGCCAAGAGCCTCCTCCAGCTTTGGTGCTATCTGGGCCCTCCCGGATGGGTGCTGCCCGCCCACTCAGCTCACCAATTCCAGTGCCAGTCTCTTCCAGAAGCCCCTCCCAGACACACCCAGAAACAGGGCTCCCCCAGCTCCCTGCATCCCTCTGCCCAGTCAAATGCACACCACAGCCGGTGTTTGGTGTAAACCACGTGTTTGCACACATAGTCTAGGCACAGCGAACCAACCCCAGCCATTAGGACAATGGCAGCTCTGAGATCCATGCTCCCAGGTACCAGCCATGGCCATCGCTGCCAGCAGGCCCTTCAGAGAGAGCAGCCTCGGGCCAGCTTGTGCCAGAGGGTAGGACGGGGAAGGTGGGGGCAGCCTGGCCAGCATGCGGTACACCAGGGAGTAGGAGAACCCTCGGAGGGAATCGGTCCGTTCAGTGAGAGCGTGGTGGGGGGGCGGGCCGTGCGGGGGGCCCGGGGGGTTCTGGGAGACCGGGGAGGAAGCTGGAGGAGACTGAGGGGTCCTTCTCCATGGCTTGCTGAGGTCTGTCGCTCACACGCTGCCCGTTTTGAGGGCACAGCTCGTTGGCTTTTAGGCCATGAAGCCATGTAGGACACAGCTAGGTTGCATTCTGGACCTCGGGGGAATTGTAGCAGATTGAAGGGGGCCACGGGAGGCCTGTGGGTGGGGACCTGCCCCCGAGAGGGAGCTCAGAGGACCTGGGGCACATGGGCAGTGCTCACTGTGGAAAGGGTCTCGCTGCCTCCCTGCCCGCCTCCTCCATGCGTGTCTCCGCTGGTCCCACACAGTGTGTGGTTGGAAGAGCGAGTCTGCCGTGCCTTTTCGGATAAGGGTGAATGTCTCCTCTGGTCCTGCACCCGGACTCAGCAGGGGTCATTTCTTCAGGGTCGGAGGCAGTGCAGACGGACGGGTTTGGCTCCCTGACTGGCCGGTCGCCAATATGTGACCTCGCAGTCACTCTTTCTGCTTCGGTTTCCTCATCTGCGAACCCCTAGAGGGTTGTCGGGCCGGAAGGAGATCATATAGCGCATTTCCAAACGGCCTGCACAGAGACGTTCAGAGCATTTCTCCCCAGCTCGCCTCCTCGGCCAGCCCTTGTCTCCGCCCTCAGGGCCTCTGCCCACAGCCACCCCCTCCTCCCTCCGCCCACTGAGTCCCAGGCCTTTGTCTGTTCACGCTTCGTTCTGACGTGTCTTCTGGTATTTCCACTTCACTGATTCTCTCCTTGGCTCTTTAATCTGCTTAAGACTCGCCCACTGGCGGTTTACGTTTGTCCTCTTCCTTTCTTTTCCTCTAACTGTGCCAGTTCTCCGCCAGCATCTGCCTGTGCTGCGGCGTTGGAGGGCAGGGACTCACTCCGTATTTCCCCGCCGGTAGCTCCGTGCTGGCCGCTCAGGTGATCGCTGGGAAGTGACGGCGTCCTCGGTCTTCCCAGGCGAGCTCTTGACTAGAAAGAAGGCTGCGCCCAATGGAAACTCCTTCTTCCTCCCTCTGGCCGCCCTGCCTCGTGCTCACGTGTGTTCTAAGTCAGCCGCCTGTATCTTCCTTCCCAGCTCGGACCTGGGAGGACGCACTGTGCCCTCATGTCAGCAATAAGTGCGTCCGTTACAGCCTCTGAGTCCAGGAGGGACTCATACAGACTTGCTGTTCCCAGAGCCTCTGCCCTTAGGGCACAGACACGCACCGGCAGCCGCTGCCGCTGCCGAGGGGGAGCTCAGGGAGCAGGTCCCTGAGAGGCCGTGGCCCCGAGGGAAAGCACAGGTGTTGCTGCGGCCCCACCACTTCCTCCTGTTCGGGCTGCAGCGGGGTCTTTAACCTTTTCCAGCCAGAGGTTCTCTGTCTGTAAGATGGAGAAGAATCCGCCTGCCCTGCAGGGCGGTGTCTGTGAGGAGTCCTCTGGGGCTGAGGAGGTGAGAGCTGTCCTCCTCACCCGGGCCTGTGTTTGGCTGACACCTGCAGGTTCTGAAGTGAGAGACCAGGCTCCGAAGCAGGAGACCCCCAGCAGCCTGCCGGCCCCTCCCCAGATGCCTCTGCCGGAGATCCCGCAGCCCTGGCTGGTGAGTCGGCCAGCCCCCTGCCGGTTCGGGGGGAGGCCGCCCGGTTCTGGGGGAGAGGAGGCCCCCTGCCGGTTCGGGGGGAGGCCGCCCGGTTCTGGGGGAGAGGAGGCCCCCTGCCGGTTCGGGGGGAGGCCGCCCGGTTCTGGGGAAGAGGAGGCCACCTGCCAGTTCCGGGGGAGGCCGCCCCTGAGTGTGTGGGAGCCGCTGGGAGCGGCAGGGAGGCGGCAGGGAGCCTTCCCGGAGCTGGTGTTTCTTTGACAATGCGGCTACATGGCTATGGAATCAGAGGACTCAGCGGCAAAATACGGACAGTGGAGCTGGGACTTGACTCGCTCTCCGGTTAGCAGCACTGGAATGCCTTTTCTGAAACATTGAAATGCTTCTTCTGGGATAAAAAGTTCTTTAAAAGAAAAATACGTACATATTCCTGGAATGTGTATTTTATCTGACCGTACGCATTCAGAACTTGCTCTGGAATTCTTTGCCACCTTTGCGGTCTGGGCCCACTCACAGGGTTTTCACGTGGATCCCCCTTTTCTGCCCTTGGCTGCTTTCTCGCGTGCTTACCAGGGAAATTGGACGTTCACTCAAAGTCTGAGCGCAGTCGGCCACAGGGCAGTTCTCTCTCACGTCCGCACAGTCACTCCGCCGGGAGGAGAGCTGCCGGAAGCAGGGCCACTGCCCCTCCTGGGCTGCAGGTGGCTGAGGCCAAGTGGTACGCAGTGATGACCTAGTTATTTATTTATTTCTTCACTATTTGTTGTTGTTATTGTTTTTAATTGAGAGAGAAATAGAAGCATCGATGAGGTAGAATCATTGATCGACTGCCTCCTGTATGCCCCCCACTGGGGATCGAGCCTTCAGCCTGGGCATGTGTCCTTAACCTGGAATCGAATCGTGACCTCCTGGTTCACAGATCGATACCCAACCACTGAGCCACACCGGCCGGGCCCCCCTTTTCTTTTTAACAGGGTCCCGGCAGTGTTGGGGGCCTGGCACGATGCCGGGCACACCTCCTCACGCCTTCAGTCCCTGCTTCCCTGGCGCTGACTGTGATGAGCACCAGGCAGACCCGAATCGTCCCAGGGCTCCCAGCTCAGGCTGGGCCTCGGAGAAGCCAGCTCTGCAGACTCGGCGGGGCAGGGGTGTGGGGGCAGCTGTGGGGACAAAGAGGAGAGGCACCTGAGCCAGTGCTGGGGGGCGCGCCCCCGGTGTCGGAGCTGGGTTTGCAAGGCGCTCCCGGGACACGGGCTACACCCCTGGTCCCTGCCGGCGGCTGTGCCGGGTGAGGGGCGTGTGGCCAGGCCAGCTGGGGACAGTGAGCAGGAACGTCATGGAGACCCGTCTTCATAGGGCGACGCTCTCTGGGTTAGCAGCACTGGAATGTGCCCAGAGGCTTCCCAGGGGAAAGGGAAGTGCCCTCAGTGCCCTCGGGGCCCGGGCGCTCTCCCAGCGACGCTCCTGTCCCTTCTGCTTGCAGCCCCCCGACAGCGGGCCGCCCCCCCTGCCCACGTCCTCGCTCCCAGAGGGTTATTATGAGGAGGCCGTGCCGCTGAGTCCTGGGAAAGCTCCGGAATACATCACGTCAAGTGAGTGTGCGGGCCGCGGACGGTGGGGGGGGAGCCAGGCCTTTGTGGGCAGGAGGCAGGGCCCAGGCCTGTGGGCGTGGCGGGGGGGTGGTCAGAGAGGGCGGGGAAGGGCAGGTGTCCTCCGACCCCTCCGGGAACTCGGGTTGTGAGTCTGTGGAGTGAGAGCTCAGTGCTGTGGAACAGGTGTCCGAGGAGACACGCTCCCTGTGAGCAGAGGGAAGGGCTTTTGGGGGCCTGTCCTTGTGGGCGCCCCCCCCTCACCTGCACGAGATTGCGCTCACTGTGCTGGTGGGGGTCTGCAGGGCGAGGGGCGCCGGGTACAGGCATCTCCCCCGAGGCTCCTGCTGGGCAGGCAGGTTTCCTGGGCCATTTCTGCTGAGTAGCTGTCTTGGCGAGACTCTCCTCAGCTGCTGCCTGGGGACCCTCAGAGGCCCCCTTTCATTACCCCCAGCTCCCACAGACACAGGACGGCATGGGGACCCTCAGTGGCCCCCCCTTCGTTACCCCCAGCTCCCACAGACACAGAACGGCATGGGGACCCTCAGAGGTGCCCCCCCTTCGTTACCCCCAGCTCCCACAGACACAGGACGGCATGGGGACCCTCAGAGGCCCCCCTTTCATTACCCCCAGCTCCCACAGACACAGGACGGCATGGGGACCCTCAGAGGCCCCCCTTTCATTACCCCCAGCTCCCACAGACACAGGACGGCATGGGGACCCTCAGAGGTGCCCCCCCTTCGTTACCCCCAGTTCCCACAGACACAGGACGGCGTGGGGACCCTCAGAGGCGCCCCCCTTCGTTACCCCCAGCTCCCACAGACACAGGACGGCGTGGGACCCTGACAGCCTTGCACACTGCCCAGCCCTTAAAGCTCTCCTTGGGGCCCCCCTGCCCAGGTCGAGGAGCTGTGTGTCCTCATGGTCATTAACATGTCCCAGCACACGATGCCGACGCCCGTCCTCACGGGCGGGTAGAAGGGTGCACCCCTGAGCCCAGGGAGGGTTTCTGTGACGAGGTCTTCACTTTCTTATTGTCAACAGATTATGACTCGGATGCGATGAGTAGCTCTTACGAATCGTATGACGAGGAGGAGGAGGATGGCAAGGGGAAGAAGACGCGCCACCAGTGGCCCTCGGAGGAGGCCTCCATGGACCTGGTGAAGGACGCCAAGATCTGTGCCTTCCTGCTGCGCAAGAAGCGCTTCGGACAGTGGACCAAGTTGCTCTGCGTCATCAAAGACACCAAACTACTGGTAAAGCCTCCCGGCGGCCCTGTGTGCAGGCGCTGAGGGCTCCTCGGCGCCCCCCGTGGTGGCACAGATGCCAGCAGCGCTAGCCTCAGCCCAGGGGAGAGGGACCACAGGCCTCGGGCTGGTGGAGAGCTCGCAGCGCCCCATGCTGGCACTGCCCTGGCCCCGACAGGCTGACAGGCCGTGTCTTCAGTGTGGAGGTTCGCCCGCGCCCTAAAGCAGGCAGAGGGCACGCCCCCTCCGCACTGTCTGCGGTTTGTGTGAGGGGAAGGCACAGAGCTGCACTGGCCAGAGGCTGCAGGATGGGGCTTCCCATTCGCATGAGTCAGTGGATTCCTCACAGCCAGGTCAGAGGGGGCGGGCGGCCTGCGCCGTCCAGGGAGCGTGGCCAGCACAGGAAATTCTTTTGGAAAACTAAAGGCCAGCTTCTTTCTTTCTTCCTTCCTTCTTTTGGAAAACTAAAGGCCAGCTTCTTTCTTTCTTCCTTCCTTCCTTTCTTTCTTTCTTCCTTTCTTTCTTTCTTTCTTCCTTTCTTTCTTCCTTTCTTTCTTCCTTCCTTTCTTCCTTCCTTTCTTCCTTCCTTCCTTCCTTCCTTCCTTCCTTCCTTCCTTCCTTCCTTCCTTCCTTCCTTCCTTCCTTCCTTTTCTTTCTTTCCTTTCTTTCCTTTCTTCCTTTCTTCCTTTCTTCCTTTCTTCCCTCCCCCCCATCCTTTCTGTGAGAGGCTGAGGAGGAAGCGAGGGTAAGTGACGGAGAGGCAGGGGCTGGACACAGACCCTCTGCTGGGTGAGGCTCCGGCAGGACCTGCTCGGGAGGCAAGCACGGCTCATGGCAGCCCCTCGCCCTTCCTGCCGCACTTCCCACCTCCTTCCAGCTTCAGGAACCTTGGTGTTACAGAATTATGATTTTTAGAGTGTGTTTTTGCTTTTTGTTTTTCCTTCAAATGAACCTTGAGAGAAAAAATCACTCAAACTCTGTCATTAAAAGAGAACATGAGAAATTATGTTTCTGTATGTCACCCTTCAGTGGGCCCGCTAACTCTATCGATTCACCCGTGAATTATGGGGATCTTATTTCACTAGATTCTTAGGACATTGAATATTTTTTAATTAGTGGTTTTGTTCAATTATTTTTAAAAAACAGAGAGAGCACATGTTTTTTCCACGTGTGTGGCCTAAACGTTCCCAAATTTAGAACATGCCAAAAATGACGCGGGGGGATTTTAAAGTAAAGAATGAAAAAAAGATGAGGGAGATTAATATGGAACTTATTAACAATCTGACATGATGGTGCAAGATGTGGGTATATTACATCAATGCTTTAAAAATACACGGGGCGGGGGGTGGGGGGGGCGGTGCGGAGTACACAGGCGACTGGTGAAAGCAGTTCTGAAACCCACGCAGGAGCCTGCTGCCGCGGGGTCCCCCGTCCGAGTGCCACCCTCGCCGCACCCCTGCTGCAGGCTGCCCGCACGCCTCCCTCCTTTTCCTTCACTCTCCATCTCCTGCCCTAAGTCCCATCCTCACAGCCGGCGGGATAGCACCCACCACTTAGAGCAGCTGCAAGTGTCTCAGAAGAAATGAACGGGAAACCACGTGGAAGCCTGTCCTCACTCACGTGTGGAGACAAAGTTAGCGATTTTTATTATAAAGGGACTTTGTTTTGGTTCAAAAATGGCCTGTGAGCCAACTGCCCAGATGACCCCTGTTGACACTGAAGAAAAGATTAGCAGGACAACAAGGCCAATGCTTCCCAAGCCCGAGCAGCACAGCAACTAGAGGCGGAAACAGGAAGCTGGTCTCAAGCTGCCTTGAGTGTTCCTGGGAGGCACGCCTCTGCCAGTGTCTTTCTGCCCTTCCGGACGGAGCCTGCTCCCCTCTGCCCAGAGCCCCGCAGGCCGCAAGGACCTGCCCCCTCACTGCAGGGGCCCAGCAGACAGCCTGTCCCCCTTTACGCTCCCTTCCCAGCGGCTTTGCATCCACTGCGAGGGGCGGGCGCTGCGAAGGCCCGGCCTCGGGGGTCCGATGGCACTTCCAGCTCCGAGCCCCTGGCCCACCGCCGCCTTGCAGTGTGCTGCATGGCGGCTTCTTCCCACGGCCTTGCTCTTAGGGCACCCGAGTAGATGCCCTGCTGCTCTCTGCCTCAGCAGCTTCCCGGTCCCCGCAGCGACCTCCCGAGGCGGCTCATCAGCTCCCTGGGGACGTGGCCGGGTCATGAGCTGTGACGGTTCCTTTCTGTACTCAGTTTCCCTCCCACGTACGCAGACGGTGAAAAGTCCGGACATGTAACCTTCACAGCAATCCAAGTTCTATTGGCTTGGGTGTATTTTTTGTTCTTTTTATTTATTTTTTAAGCTTTTTAAACAAATATATTTTTATTGATTTCAGAGAGAAAGGGAGAGGGAGAGAGAGAAACATCAATGATGGGAGAGGACCATTGACTGGCTGCCTCCTGCACACCCCCTACTGGGCATCGAGCCCACAATCTGGGCATGTGCCCTTGACTGGAATTGAACCTGGGACCCTTTAGTCCACAGGCCGACGCTCTAGCCACTGAGCCAAGCCAGCTAGGACGGTTCTTCCTTTTTAGACAGGGCAGCCATCATTTGAAATATTTTAAAAAGTGGATATATTTCATCCACGTGTCATTCAAGAGGCATGGTTTTGGAACTGTAGATAATTACTTCTGAAAATAGGCATTCATGTACCCATTCCTCGGAGGATGGCTTAGAGGCAAGTGTAGGACTTGCCTGGGTTGCGGCTAGAGTCCTGAGTTGGCCACTTGTTCGGTCACCTGGCATTGGCAAGTTACGTAACCAAAGTTACAGGTTACTTAACAAAGGTCCTAAACCAGGTTAACTTAGTCTGCCAAACAGGCGTCTGTGAGGGTGAGGTGCAGGAGCTGCCTCCTGTGATGATGACACTCGCTACTTGGGAGTAGATGTTGTCGTTACTAATCATTTCATGTAACTCCAGTAAGTACCAGTCACTCCTTTTACAGCGAGGAAGCAGGCTCAGGAAACAGCAGACGCCCAGAGCCCAGCTCCCGTAGCGGCAGAGCTGGGCCCAGATGCCGGGTCCTCCACTCGACTAGGAGGCCAACCTGTGCAGACGCCGTTGTACGCCATGCGTTGATATCTGTGCTCTTACTGAAGCCGTTCGCCTGTCTTTCAGAGAGAGGGTGGGGACGAGGCAGGGACACCAAGTGTGCAGGGCCGTGCATGCCCGCAAACCTCCTAAATCGTAGTCAGGGGACCTACTGAGGAAGCGCGGTTAGACCGCCAGCCTCCGCGCAGGGCCTCCCGGGTTCCCGCTGGCCGTGCCAGTGACGGTCGGTAGACTTTGCTGAGGTCCTGGGTAGATGCATTTTCGCATGCATGGAGGTGAGCGTGGGTGTGGAGCAGGTGGCGGCGGGATCCTGCAGGTCCCTTTTCCAATCGCCGAGCAGCCCCTCGCTCCTGGTGGTCCGATCTCCGGGTGCCGCGCCCACGCTCCTGTGTTCATTCTGCCACGTTTTATGGGTTCCCGCCCGCGCCCACCCCCTGACGTGGTGTCTCTGTCGGTGCAGTGCTACAAGAGCTCCAAGGACCAGCAGCCGCAGATGGAGCTGCCCCTCCCGGGCTGCAGCATCGCCTACGTCCCGAAGGATGGCAAGAAGAAGCAGCACGAGCTGAAGATCACGCCGCAGGGCACGGACCCGCTGGTGCTCGCGGTGCAGAGCCGGGAGCAGGCCGAGCAGTGGCTGAAGGCAAGTTGTCCGCGTGGCTGCTGAGCCACTGCATCGCCAGCTGCTCACTGGCTCTTTTAATTTGTATTTTTTCAGGCAGGTGCAAACGGCTCAACCTGAACAGTTTGGTCCTTGGTCGGGGGATGTCCTGTGACTTCAGGGCGATCACTGTGGCGCTTCTCCTCAGGACATTCTGGCCCATCTGCAGGCTGCTTCTAGCACGTCTTCCTTGGATGTTCTAGCTTCACTTTATTGGTCCGGGTGCAGATTCTTTTCTATTTATTCTGCTTGGGATTCCTTAGGCTCCTGAAATCTGTGGGTTGTCATCGTTCTAAGTTTCAGGAAAAATTTCAGCCATTTCTCTTTAAATAGAACTTGGCCCCATTTCCTCCCCGCCTCCTGACGGCACTTAAATACCTGTGAGGCCTTTTCACTGCATCCTACATCTTCTCTTCTCCTGTGTTTACTATCCTCCTCCTAAAAAATGTTTAGTCTGGTCAACTTCTTCTTGTTACCTTCCAGCTCACTGTTTCTCTTTTTAGCTGTGTCTAATCTTCTATTAAACTTGTCCCTATTCAGTGTGTCCTTATGGTAGCTTTTAGTTTTAGAATTTCCAGCTGCTTCTTTCAGGAATGTTTGCTTGGCCCTTTACCTGCACAGCCAGCACGGAGCGGGCCTGGCGTTCCGACTGGGTTCGGTGGAGGGCGGTGGGCCTGCGCCCCTCTGCGCTGCGCGTGTCCTTGTTTATGTCAGCCTGTCTGCTGTGCCAGGTTCCCTGGTGACCATGCCGCTCATTGTATTTGGAGAAATACATTATTTCAATAATTTTTTATATCAGCTTTATTGAGGTACGCCACAGTTTGCCCTGTTAAAGTATGACTCACTGTTTTTAGTATATTCTCAGTTGTGCAACCGTCACCATTAATCTAGTTTCAGAACATTTCATCACCCCAAGGAGAAAATCCGTACTCACCACAGAGCAGCCGCTGCCCGCCCCGGCCCCAGGCCACCACTCCTCTGCCCTCACCCACTTGCCTGTCTCAAGCTCCCGTCCGTGTGCACGCACTCCTTTCCCTCCTGGCGGGCTTTGTTCACTTAGCAGTGTGTTTTCAGGCGTCATCCATGTTGTCATGTGTGTCAGCATTTCATTCCTTTGTAGTGCTTTTATGTCAGAGCTAAGAAACTGTTGTTTAATCCAAGGCCCTGACGATTTCTGCCCACGTTTCCTTCTAATAGCTTTATGTCGTGTTAACTCAAGTGTAGGCTGTGACCCTTTCGTATCCGTACAAGCTGAGTTACTCCCTGTTGTCATCAGCTTACTCTCTAGGCTTTCCAGATTTTGAAATGTGGCTTTAACGTAACCATTCGGTATCTTCTGAGTGAGGCGCACCCCCTCTGTCAGGGCGAGAGCGTGAGGACTGTTTAGTGACTCGACACACACTTCCGGAGTCGGGCCAGGTTGCTTTCTCTCCGTTTGGTCTGCAACTTCCACGACAGCAGCTCTTGCCAGGACTCACTGACTGTGTGTGTGTGTGTGTGTGTGTGTGTGTGTGTGTACAGATGCCAAAAACATGAGCCATTTCGTAGGGTCAGTCAGAAGACAGAGCAGCATTCCCAGAAGCCGAGTGGTCAGGTTTCCTTAAAAATGTGCAGAGGCTGTGTTTCTGGAGATGAGGGCTCAAGTTGAAAGCAAACAGAAATACCACAGAACATAAAACAGTTTGGTTTGTGAAGGATTTGTGATTCTGAATTTGGATTCAATTCTTTTAAATACACATTGAACTTCTCACAGGACATGGCTCTGTAAAATGAAGTCAGCAGTACCAAAACCTCATTTGTAGCTGTTCACAGCGTAGGGTGCTAACCCTTTAGTACTTCATGAGCTCTGCAGGCGGTGTGGCTGTAAGTGGAGTTCAGAGTAGAGAGACAGTTTCATGAAATACCTGCAGTACTCCCACCGGCAGGCCCATAGGACAGGGAGGGGAATGCTGGCGCATAGAACAGGGGGAGCGCTGGCCCATAGAACAGGGGGAGCGCTGGCCCATAGAACAGGGGGAGAGCACTGGCCCATAGAACAGGGCGGGGAACCCTGGCCCATAGAACAGTGGGGAGAGCGCTGGCCCATAGAACAGAGGGGAGAACCCTGGCCCATAGAACAGGGGGGAGGCCTTTTCTCTGTGCCTGGGGTATAACCGTGGGTTAGTCTGGGGAAAGGTTCATCATTCATGATGCCGGATGCCTCGAATAACCCCCGTGTGGCCCAGGTTGTCTGGGTCTCTGGTGCACGGAATGCCGGCACTGCGCATGTGCTGCGCAGGAGGTAAGCTGCAGCAGGGAAGGGAGGGAGATCGAGTGTGGCGTTTACAGACGTGCGGGTGAGCCAGGAACGGTGACTGCGTCAGTGAGCTCGGTGGCTGAGTGTCCTCATCTGGTGACCTCAGGGACCCCTCGGTTCCCCGAGCCTCTGCCGGCCAATGGGACCTGTCGGGAAGCAGGCAGAGCCGGGGACAGAACGTGACCTGGAGCGAGTGTGACACTGTGTAGTGACAGCACAGCGGGGGGCGGGGGGGGGACTGTATTGGTGCTGCGGCCCCTCCCCCTTTTGAAAAAGTCTTTTCCCTGAGGATTTCCAAAACCCAAGCAGAGGACTGGGAGGTTGGCCACGCGGACTTAGCGACCGGGCGACGGCAGGTCTCTGCTTCTGCTTTCCACTCATTCCTTCGCTTCCCATCGGGAATTCCAAGTCCAGTTGCCTCTCCGTCCCCTCCTTGTCTCTTTAATCACTTTCTTTAGTTGCCGTTAGAGCTGGGCGTGGGAAGCTGACCAAGGAGGAGCAGCCCGCGCAGGGGAATAAGCACAGCTTACCGCAGGACAGACTACACAGGCCGCCCACGGGGCCCGCGTCTGGCGGAGGACGCGTGGCTGGTGTGGCGCGTGGAGAAGCAGCCAGACCCTACTCCCCCTGGGCGGGCAGAGCGGGCTTCCTGGTCATGTGAGACCTGAGCCGAGTGTGGAAGGATGGGTCCTGCTTCGCTGAGAGCAAGGGCACTGTCCTCCGTGGTCACGCCCACAGGCCCACACCAGGAGGCGGGCAGGAGCTGCGTGGGCCCTCACTGACACAGGCAGAGAGAGGCAGCTGCTTGCCGCATGCGTGGTGGCTCTGCCACACCGGCCTCTGCGGCAGGCTCTGGGTCAGCCTTCTCCTGCAGAACACCTGGTGCCCTTCCCGCTGGCTTGTCTAACTGCACACGGTCACTAACGCTGTGACGGGGAGAGCTCAGGATCCAGGGCGCCCAGCCCTGCGGCGCTTTATCTTGTCACAGAGCCCCAGGGGTCTGTGTGCCTCCGGGAGGGAGGAGGTTAGGCCCAAAGTCCAGCTTGCTCAGCCCCACGTATGGAGGAAGCGGCAGATTTGGGACTTAACCCCCGTGTCTGTGACAAGCGCCCAGGAGTCCCTATTGTATTCTACTCTTTCCCAGAGCAGCCGTTACTCCGGGGCCATGCGGACCACTCAGGCCCCGCCTTTCCCGTCCATCGTCATAAAAACACAACAGCAGCCAACACGGCAATAGCCGCCCAGGGTGAATGAATCAGAATTATACCTATTTTTTTGTCAGATGGACAAAAAATATAGTCTACTGTTCGGGGTCTGCAGAATTTTAGTAATTCGTCTGTGTGCGCCACGAGACGAAAAAGGTTGACAATCGCTGCCCTGGAGAAAAGACATCTTGTTTTTAGATCACATGAAGCTTTGCCTCTGAGCTAAAGGTTTGGTGAGCGCAGTGGGGAGGTGAGGAAACCAAGACCTAGGAAAAGTAGTGAAATCAGCGAGAAAGAGAAAGAAAGGGAGCCGCCCGTTTCCCCTTCGAGACGCGTGGCAGGCGCCGCGCTGGGTGACGTATGTCACTCGCAGCTTCCACAGGACAGAACCCCACGCACGCTCTCGGGGTCTTTGCTTTCTCTTTTTCCTGGTTTGGTCTCAAATATGGACATTGCTCCTTTTTTTGTAGTGTTTTTTCTTCTCTTTTTTTCATAGAACAGCTGAGCAGCCAAATGGCTGGAAACGGTCCAGGCCTGTGCGTCCCTGGCCGCGGTCCCAGCAGCGCAGCCAGTGGCGCGGAGACGCCCCGAGGGCTGCAGGCTCTCCGGACGTGGGCGGTGCTTTTCCGTCCAGAGGCACTTGGGTTGAACTCAAGTTGCAGCTTAGTTCCAAAAGGAACGGGGACATTTTGAAAGACTCACCTGCTCACTTTTCTATGGGAAGAATGTGCGCTCTGTCTCCCCCCGCTGATCTCATTTACTGCTTACCGCCCCCCCCCCCCCCCCCCCAGCCGTCAGCGCCCCGCCCCGGGCTGCTCAGGCCCGATGGAGGGGACCCTGCGACTGCAAGGGGGCTGGGGGCGCAGCTTAGTGTCCTCCCAGCAAGGCCTCTCTTGGCCTCTTGCTCTGAGTCAGCTGTGCCTGCGGCTAAAGGCCACCCTGCTCTTCGCCGCCCCTACCGCTGCCTCACAGCGCCTGCGTTTTCTGGTGACGCTCATTGTTCACGATGGCACCTCACTCTTCCTGGAGCGGAACCCTCACATACGTGTTCTTTTGTGACCAGGACCTAGGTCAGCACCGGGAGTGGGTAGACCGTCAGTGAATGGGCGACTCAATGAACAGAGGGCGGCCTGGCGGCCTGGAGCTGAAACCCAGGTGCTGTGACCTGCGGGTTTCCGGCCACACCACGTGCCCCTGTTCCTCTCAGGCTTCCTCCCCTCGTGGGAGTGTCTCTGTGCTTGGATGCACTCAACATGTCCGCGCTCATTGCAGGTGATCCGAGAGGTCTACAGCGGCTGCAGCGGGCCCGTGGACGCCGAGTGTCCGCCACCGCCAGGCTCCCCGGTGCACAAGGCAGAGCTGGAGAAGGTAAGGGCGTGTGCTGCTTCGGAGGGTGGGCCTCCTCGCAGGCCCAGTGCACCCTGAGCGTCTCCGCACTCCAGCTGGAAGTGACGGGAGAGACTGCAGTCCTGCTTCCTGTGCGTTCCCCGTGCCCACACGCGAGGCTGGGGCTGGCCGTTCACGGGCTGCGGTTGGCCGTCTTCTTCCCAGCTGCAGGTGAAGAAGTGGGTGGAAGCTGTTAGGGCCCTGTTCAAGGTCACCCGCTGTCACGTGGCAGCGTGGAATCTGAACTCAGGTCTGTATCCCGGAATACAGCAGGCACTGCCTGAGTGTCCCTCCCCAAGCTGTATCCCAGTAGCCAGGCTGTGTTCCCTGTGCCCTCCGCTCTGTGCCCATGTTCCTTGTAGAAGGGCACAGTGACGGCCCCGCAGGGGGGCAGGGCCAGCCCTTCTTGTCAGGAACGTGTGAACCTGTCACTGTCATGCCACACACCCAGCTCGCTCTGATGGTCCCTACACAGGGCTCCTCTCCATGGAGACCCCGGGCTTCCTGCACGCAGCTCCTGTCGGTGGCTGTGGCCCAGGGACTCTCCGAGGCCTCCCCGTGTAGCCCCTGCCAGTGGACAGAGCCTTCGTGTCCCTTCTTATTTAGTCAGGGTTCTCCAGAGAAACAACTAGTGGTGTGTGTGCATGTACATGTATGTACTTATGTATGTGCGCATGTGTGTGTATTTATATGTGATTTACATACGGAATTTTTTATGTGTAAGATTTATCGTAAGGAATTGGCTCATGTGATTATGGAGGATGGCAAGTTCAAAGTCTGCAGCGTAGGCCAGCAGGTGAAGTCTGAAGGCCATTGGCAGAATTCTCCCTTGCTCAGGAGACTGGGCTTTAGTGGTATGCAGGCCTTCAGCCAACGAGGTGAGGCCCCCACAGTAGGGAGCACCATCTGCGTTACTCAGCGTTCACGGATTTAAATGTTAGCCCTGGCTGGTAATCTCAGTGGTTAGTGTTGGCCTGCACACTGACGGGTCATGGATTTGAGTCCCAGTCAAGGGCACATACCTGGGTTGCAGATTTTGTCCCTGGCCCTATTGGGGTGCATCCAGAGGGCAACCGATGGATGTGTCTCTCTCATATCGATGTTTCTCTATTGCTCTCCCTCTCCCTCCCTCCCTTCCACTCGCTTCAAAATCAATGGAAAAAAATATTCTGGGGTGAGGATTAACAACAACAACAAATTAGTCTCATCCAAAAACAACCTCCAAGTTGACGCACAAAATTAACCCTATCACAGCCCTCATCCTGATATTGCAGGCCTGTCTCTCTCTCTCTTTTCTTTTTCTTATTACGAACGAATACCTGCTTGCTGTGGAAAACTCAGGCGGCTCAGAGAAACACAAATGGCAGCAATACGGCCACCCACGAACCCACCACACGGGATGCAGCTCCTCCCAACATGGCATTTTTTTCACCAGCTCACGTGTTTCTTTCATAGTTTAGATATTCTGATGCATAAACATGTTATGCTGCCCTTTTGTTCTTACCTTTACATTATTACCAACTTTCCAGGCTTTTGAAAACTAATAACAAGCAACAACCGCTTTTGCACTTTTAGCAGCTGAATAATATGAAATCATATGACTCTACTATCATATTCCCGACCCCCTCCAAATTTAACTCCTTATTGTTGGCCATTTAAAATAACTGGCATCGTTTTGTAAGTCTTTGCTGCTGCTCTGTTACCTGAAAATAGACCCCTAGAAGCTAGGTTACCAGACCAAAGGGGAGGATTGATTTTAAGATTTGACTTGTGTTGCTAAGCAAATAGCCATCCAGAAAGGCTGGTCCGGTTTCACTTCCCATCAGCGTGCATCAGGGTTTCTCTCTCACCCGCTCCCACGGGACCGGTGGCACCCTTCACTTAGCGTGGTTTCTGAGGCTGTGCCGTGCCCGCCCAGACCTGCTGACCTGGTTCCCAGGAGCACTTCCCGGCCTGGGAGCTGGGCAGCGCCAGCTCTCATCCGCCCTGTCACTGGCGGTGGGTGGGCACATACCAGGTTCCCACGGGATGCCACTGGCTCCTTCCCGTGGCTGTCGCAGCACCTCGGCGCGACGCAGACACCGTCCGCCGTCCTGGGCCAGCGCAGCCCAGCCCTCTCCTGAGGTGGCGTGCGCGTGCCCGTGCCCCAGCATCCGCCTGTGGCTGGCAGTCTCTGTGGCATGGGGGACAGTGCGGGGGATCGGGGAGGGCTGAAGCTGTGCCCCCCGCTGTGACTCCACAGCTCCTCCGGTTGGAATGCAGGGGTTCCAGCTCTCAACAGTGCTGCAGGTTTTTAAATTTCTATTGAATTTATTGGGGTGACATTGGTTAATACAATCATATAGGTTCCAGGCGTGCAGCTCCATGTGCATCATCTGCATGCTGTATTGTGTGCTCACCACCCGGAGCCCAGTCTCCCCCCGTCACCACGTCCCCGTGACCCTCTCCTGCCGCCCACGTGCCTCTGCTTCAGATGCCAAGCGACAGTCCCCACTGTGCCCTGGTCAGGTGCTGGGCCAACCGGGCAAGGCCTCCGGTGCCCTTGAGGGTTTGACAGCCGCCCGACTGCGCATCCTCGGAGCATATTTGTCACAAACAGACACTTGACGCTTGCCCATTATTCACGGGAGGAAATTAAGTGGGCGACGCAGTGTTCATTTCTGGAAGCGTAATTGGTTTGGTGAGGGGAGTTTTCTGTAGCCCTAATGTTTTTTTAATTACTGAGGGAGAGGGAGGTGAATGAATGTCAGGCACTGTAGCACGCGCTGGTTACCTTGGTGGCTTTTTTCTTTGCTCTTTTGGTGTCTTTCAAGCTTTTGGTAACAGGCACCCAGCCTGTCCGTGCGGCCTTGGAGCCCTAGCTGTCCTGGATCGCTGGGAATTCAGCCCGCGTTCTTTCGGCTCTGAGATCACTTTGGAGCGATCCATGACGCCACTTGGCCAATGCGACCTTGTGAGAATAACCCCGTTCTCCTCTTCCTTGCAGAAACTGTCCTCGGAGAGACCAAGCTCGGACGGGGAGGGTGTCATGGAGAATGGAGTCGCCGTGTGTAACGGGAAAGAACAAGGTGAGTTCTGCCTGAAACAGAAACCAGAATCCGAAACACTGCGGCCCGTTCTGCAAACTCTGGCTGCGGGCACGTCTCCTTGGAGGTTCGGTCACGCGCCTGTCACCATCCTGGTCGCACTGACCGATCCGAGAAGGCCCTCTGGGGAGCAGGAGCCCTCTGAGGCTCCGGTGCCTGCGGCCGGGCCAGGGTTCCTGTGGCCCGACGGCGCCCTGCGGGAGTTTAAATCAGTGGCTCAGCAGGCATTTCCTCACGTGGTTTGTCCCGGGAAGCGATCCTCTGGGAAGGGCTTTGGGTGGTGAGCGGAGCCACGTGCCCACCCCGTGGCGGCCTCGGCCCCATCGGGACTGTTTCCCTGATGAGTTCCGCTCCCCATCTTTCAAATGAGGAGGCCTGACGTGCAGGTTTCTGAAGTCCCTTTTAAAAAAAATTTCTGCAGATGTATTTTACTTGCATTTAAAGAAATGATTTTAAATTGTGGAAAAATACACATAACAAAAATTTACCCCCTCACCATTGTTAAGTGTCCAGTCCAGTGGCCTTAGGCACATTCGCATTGCCGTGCCACTGGCTCACCATCCTCTCCAGAACCTTCCATCTTCCCAAACTGCAACTGTCCCCATTAAACACTCCCGCCCTCCCCGTTCTCCAGGCCTGCAGCCACTCCCACGGTGCCTGGGGCGCCTGCTGTCCCTGTGGGTCTGACTCCTTAGGGACCTCGACTCATGGAACCACAGAGCTTGCCCTGTGGCTGGCTCACCTCGCTCAGCGCGATGCCCTCAGGTCCGCCCAGGGAGCCGGTGTCAGGATCCCCTTCCTCTCTGAGGCTGAGCAATAGTCCGTTGTGCTACGGACCACATTCTGCCGCCATTCATCTGTGGAGGGGCGTCTCTGTTCCCCCCTTGGCTGCTGCGGATGACGCTGTGTGAGCGGGGTGCTTCCCGGCCCTGTGGCGTGTGCGTCACACGCGTTGACGGCACCTTGTTGGCATACAGCTCCTTGCGTTTTGACAAACACATACTGGTGGGTCGCCATCCGCACCGTCGAGACATGGAGCAGTTTTGACCCCAGGGGCTCCTGTGCTCCTCTGTCCCCCCCGCCCCCCCCGCCCCCCGCTCCTGGCAGCTGCAGGTCTGTGTTCTGTCCTTCCCCAGCACGTCCTGTGCGTGGAGTCCACAGCTGAGCCTTTCGGTCTGGCGTCTCTGACTCAGCCTCAGGCATTGGGGAGCCCCGCGTGCAGGTGCTCAGGGTCCGAGCAGGAGGTCAGCACAGACGCGGCGCGGCCGGCTCACCGCACCCACGGGAGAGGGCTGGTGCTGGCAGCTGGCGCCATGGGAGCAGAGCTGCTGTGGACACGTTTTCCTTTCTCCCGGTTAATGCCTGGGAGCAGGGTGCTTGGCCACGTGCCGCTCACCAGCCTTGGTGGCGCTCTGTCGTGCTGGTCTCTGCGTTGGCCATTTGAACAGCCGTGCAGTGCTGTGCAGCCGGCCTTACCGTGCCTCTGCCCATAACCAACAACGCTGACCAAGTCTAACGAGCTTGTTTGCCATCCAGGCGTCCTCTTTGGTGAAAAGTCTGTTCACATCCTCTGCCCGTATTTTCATTGAGTTGTTTGTTCTTGTGACTGACGTCTGAGAGCTCCTTAGAGCTTCCGAAGACAAGCCCTTTCCGCTACGTGATGTCCTCCCCAGCGTGGGGGCTGGGCTGAGAGGAGGGGTCTGTGGGGCAGGGAGTCTTCCCCGTGGAAGCCTGCAGCCTCTGCCTGCCCCGGGACCTGGCTCCCAGGTGAGCCTCTGCCCACTGCCCCCTGCACCTGCCGCAAGAGGCAGATGCCGTCACCTGCAGCCAGACAGCAAGCCGGCCGCTGGGTCTCGGAACCCCGTCTTCTGGGCTGTGGTGATATGACCGGGGTCCGTCGGAGGCTTGGCCTCTGCTCTGCCGTGTGACTTTCTGCCAGACGCGTCGGGGTGTAATTTTCGTCCTCTGCGTCGGAAGTCACTCGGTGGGAGGCATTCTCTGTCGTCCACAGGCCGCATTATGTGTAATCACAGCCGGGAAACCTGTCTTTGAGGTTTGCCCTGGAGGAGACCAACATACAATCTCAGGTTCCCGCCTGGATGTCCAGGCGCAGCCCACACCGCGGCTTCTTCTCCCAGGTCCCTCACAGTAGCCTCTGCGGAGCGCGTGCGTCTGGCTGTGCGTGGGCGTGGACTCTCCTACCCAGCATTCCCCTGGGCTCTGGACAGCAGAGCAGCCTTCCGTATTTTGAAAAGGTGCCGTTGGTTTAAACACTTGGCCTGTCGCGATGCTTTGTGTATTGCAGACGCTCGGTGAGTAGGTCCTGCAGGAAGTTAGTGGTTAAGCTGCACTTGACCTCTCCTCCCTTGCGCTCTGCGGCTCGCTCTGGACTGTGTGCGCTGAGGTTCAGGGAGGTCCCTTCGTCCAGCCCTTCGTGACCAGACAGGTGCTGGCTGCCGAGGAAGCCGCGACGCAGACAGCTCCTCCCCGTTACCCCTCCATCGCATGGCCGCGGCCAGCCCCTGCCGTCCAGCCACGGGTGACTCTGTCGCTCCTGCTCCTGCGCTCAAGGGGAAGGATATGCCCCCCGTAACGCGCCAGTGCACCGCGATTCTGGGTGGTTCGTGACTCCCCTGCTGGTGCCGCCGCCGATCGAGCACGGGGAGCTGAGGTCTTGGCAGCAGTCCCATGGCAGCTTCGCATGTCCCAGCGAGCAGGGCACACGGGAGGAGGTCATCGGTGTGGCTCACTGGTGCCTCACTGAGCCAGCACTCCGATGGTGTAAGCCAGGCCCCAACGGCGGCCTACAGCGGGTGCTCAATGAGTAAGACCGGGGCAAGCCAATGGCTGTGGCGTATGCTGTGTTTCGCTGTCTTTCAGTGTAAGGTCTATAACTTAACATGCTTTCGTGTTGTCGTTACTCTTGACAGTCAAGAGGAAAAAAAGTTCCAAATCAGAGGGCAAGGGGACCGTATCTAAAGTCACTGGGAAGAAAATCACCAAGATCATCGGTTTGGGAAAGAAAAAGCCGTCGACCGACGAGCAGACCTCCTCCGCCGAGGAGGACGTGCCCCCCTGCGGTAAGACAGTCCTGAGCCCCAGGAGCTGCAGGAGCGGCGCGTGTCGTCCCTGAGTCGCGGCCCTCGGCCTCGTCACGCGCGCGGCTCTCGGGAGGGAGGCTGGGGATTGTGTGCGGGGAGATGTTTCACTCGCACTGCTTGTTAGTCAGAGACTGCAGGGGTTTGACATGAGCTCTGTGGCTCTTCACGTTTGACCCCAGGAAGGTCTCCCGACTTCCTTTAAGCATTTAAACTGAAAGCGTGCAGGGCTGTTGGCCTGTGAGGGACGGGTGTGAACATGGCCAGACATGAAGGCACTGTGGTCAGCCATTCCCCTCGGCTAAAGTAATCAAGCCAGGGTTTCTCATGAGGCTCCAGGTCCCAGACCAGGGTCACCCCGGTCTCACTGAGGACCGTCTCCGCATCAGTGTTTCATCCGCATTTTCTGAGCAGCTGCCGTGGGCAGGACTGTGTTAACGTGTGTGCGGCAGCGACTGAGACAGCCCCTGCCCTCCGACTTCCCTGTCGGAGCTCTGCCACCTGCTTCAGGGCCAGGTTCCTCGGACAGAGTCCCAGGTTGGCTGTCACTGGGTCCCTGGGTGGTTCAAGTGTTCATTTCTCACGCTCCCTCCTAGCCAGACCCCAGCCTCCCCAGCTGGAGACGTTTCCTGCCTCAAGGCCCCTGAGGAATGGCCCTGAGCCTCCCTCCAGGGCAGGGCGCTGGCCCAGGACCCTCAGGAGGGGCCACCCTGTGCCCCAGGAGCTTCGGGTGCTCGAGAGCAGTCGTGACTCCAGATCTCCTTACGTATCGCCACCTTGGTCCCCAGGTCACTGTCATTCATGCCCGCAGACTCTGACGATGGCTGCAGTTGGCGGTCATTTTTCAAGTGTCCAAAAAGTGGGCTCTCAGCGGGGTTCATGTGTAGATGGGGCCGAAGCCACAGGCAGGCATTCGTGGTTCTCACGCCGTTGCTCAGCCGGTCAGTCCTCACGGCTGACTGTGGGCTTTAGTACAGTAGGTCCTGGGGTTACGGGGAGGTCCGTTCCTACGACGTAACGCGATTTTCGCCGTAAGTCGGAGCCCACCTACATAAGCACCTACGTCACTCACATGGAGCACAGACACAGCAGTAAGGAAGGGAAACAGTAAACAAAATTTAAAAGAAAGATAACAATTCCTGACTTTCACTTGTGGTAAATAAATAATAAAAAACATAAAGCACATATGTACATACGTCGGAATGATGGAACCTTTTTTTTGGTATATTTTATTGATTTCTTACAGAGAGGAAGGGAGAGGGATAGAGAGCTAGAAACATCAATGAGAGAGAAACATCGATCAGCTGCCTCCTGCACACTCCCTACTGGGTATGTGCCTGCAACCAAGGTACATGCCCTTGACCAGAATCGAACCTGGGACCCAATGGATAGGCCGACGCTCTATCCATTGAGCCAAACCGGCTAGGGCCGGAACTTTTTTTTTATAAATAAATGGGAGATGGTGACATAACCACGAAATGACGTACGTCGAGTCCCACGTAACCCGAGGGCTGTCTGTAGAGCTTTCTTCCTTATAAAGAATAAGTGTATCAGACATATGTCATGTACAAATTCAAAATCACAGCTCTCCAGCTGTCACCGTGACGGCCCTCCTGTGTGTGTGAATTTGCCTGAGACGCAGTGGGGGTCCATCCTTGGGCGTTCCTGCCCTGGTGCCTCTCCCGGAACTGAGCCGCCCTGTCGCCGCAGGCCACCTGAACGTGCTCTCCAACAACCGCTGGCGGGAGCGCTGGTGCAGGGTCAAGGACAACAAACTCATCCTGCACAAGGACAGGACCGACCTGAAGACCCACCTCGTGTCCATCCCTCTCCGTGGCTGCGAGGTGATCCCGGGGCTGGACTCCAGGCACCCGCTGACCTTCCGGCTGCTCCGCAACGGGCAGGAGGTGGCCGTGCTGGAGGTAGGACGACCTTCCTTCCCGCAGCCGCTGCCCGTCTGAGTCCCCGCCTTGCTGAGCTGGCAGCGCCTGCTGGGTCACGCCCTTTCTCCCTCTCCTTCTGCCCACGTGTCCGTCTCTGCTGTCCCCGGTGGCCCCTCCTGAGGGCCCTGGGCCCCGCCCTGCGCCCACTTCTGCTGAGCCCTTCAAGGAGCCTGGGCCCGGGCACCTCCTGGTCACGTCCCCGCCAGGCCTTGCTTCAGTGTTCCCAGCAGAACTTCTCACAGTGACAGCCTCCAGAGGGCGCTGTCCTCCCTCGTCCTGCAGGGCCCATGCGGCTCCAGGCGGGGTGAGTGTGCAGACACCGCAGCCAGCGAGCCGCGTGCATGGACACTGAGACCTGGGTTTCCAAGAGCCCTGGCTCCGTGCGCGACTGATTCCTGTGGCTGCCTTTCTGGAGCCGGCTCGCTGAAGAGGGAAAGGCCATTAAACAGCCTCAGCCGCCTACTTCCACCCTCCCCTTTGGCCCTGGCCGGGCTCAGTGGTTAGGGCATCGGCTGAGCTGTAGTCAGATTGCAAATGAAGGTCAGATTCAGGGTTGGGAGCATGTAAACGTCCTGAGAAACGGCGCCCACAGCCTGGTGACTGCCCACGGTTGCACCCCCTCAGCACAGCCGGCAGGAGGGGAGCATGTGCTCATGCCTCCACTGAAGGGAAGGAAGTACATTCCCGGCCCAGACACGGGAGCCCGAGGCCCGCAGGGAGCGCCAGCCCCGTCCTCAGGCTGGGCCAGCGCAGGCAGCGCTGCTTTTCCGGGCCGGGTTTTGTTGTCAAATTAGCGAGGCTTTGTCAGCAACTTCATTTGGCTGAGCCTTAGCTAGCACAGTAAGTCCCGCGTCCTACCCCCAGTGCCCATCCCCCATAGCGGCAGGCATTGCAGGACCCAGGTTTCCACGTCCTGGGTCCAGTCATTCCGGCTTCAAGGCTCGGGCTGAATGCAGAACGGGTCCCGCAGCTCGGCAGCCCTCCCCTTCCTCCGCGACTTACTCGCACGAGCCTCAGGCCCCCGCCGTCCCGTCTGTGTGGCCTCTGTGCCGACACCTGAACCTGTGAAACTCTTCCCTAATCAAGTGACACGCGCCTCCCTCACGCACAGGCGGCGTCCTCGGAAGACATGGGCCGGTGGATCGGCGTCCTGCTGGCGGAGACGGGGTCCTCCACAGACCCCGGCGCCCTGCACTACGACTACATCGACGTGGAGATGTCGGCCAACATCATCCAGACAGCCAAGCAGACCTTCTGGTAAGGCCCGCGGGCAGGGCGCTGGGCACACGCGCTGTTTCCTGTGTGTTTACCCTTCATGGGCTGTCGGGAAAACAGTGAAGACGCTGCCTTCGCATCATGTTCACCCAGACGTTGGTGAAAGCCCTGTCCTTCTAACCCTCGTGTTTTCTCTCAGGACAGGGCCAGCCGACTTTTCCCATAGAAAGCAAGCTAGTCACCGTCTGGCTTGTGCGCTGGTCCCTGTCCTCAGCGCTGCAGGGGCAGGAGCGAGTGGGCCGACGGTTTCGTAAAACGTGATTTGCAGGCACAGGCAGGGGGCCGGATGCGGCTTGTGGGCTGTACTTTGCTGACCCGTGTGTGGGGGGAACAATCTAGAATCAGAAGTGATTCTACACGTTGCTGTAGTGAGGATTGTCTTTGAAGCCATTAATCACGTTCCTTTACAATCTAAATTGTCATTTTTTTAAAAAGGCTGTTCATACAAGAACGGTCTTTGAACCATGAATTTCTTTAATATATCGATGCAAAGACAGTTATAGCTGCACTTCTCAAAGCCCCGCCCACAGGCCCCGGGGTGCAGGCCCTCGCCGTCTCCAGAAGTTTCCCTCTTGCTGTCGCGCCTTCGGCATCAGAGGTGTCGACGCAGCGGGGCCTGGTGGAGCTGCCCTGCTGTTGTGGCCTCGGCACCGCCACGCTGGCGGTGGAAGAACAGCTGGACTCGCTGGGATGTCTCTGATGAAGGACTAGTCCAGTGGTTCTCAGCCTTGGCTGCACATTAGGATCACCTGGGAGTCTTTTTTTAAAATCCCGATTCCTGGGCCCCATCCTCCGGAAATTCTGTTTCTTTGTTACTAATGTTGTGGTCCCACCCCGTAACAAAGAAACAGAATTTCCGGAGGATGAGGCCCAGGAATCAGGATTTTAAAAAGATTCCCAGGTGATTCTAACGTGCAGCCAAGGTTGAGAACCACTGCACTAGACTGGCTTTTCCTGTAAAAGTCTGTGGGCCCTGGCCGCTCGGCCAGGACGCGCTGGGGCTGAGGGAAGATAGCTTGGTCGCATGAGGCGTCAGGCGCCTCTGTCCGGGCTAAGCAGCCTGTGTGAGGAGCCAGCCTGGGACAGCTTTGCCCGGCGATCGCCAGCGAAGCGAGAGGGTCCCCAGCAGAAAGCACTCGTTCTCACTCACTTCGCTCTGTGGGAGAGTCAGGACCTCGTCAAGGACTGGCCGCTCTGCTTACTCATTACCTTCTGTGATAACAGCCCATCCGGCCAGCAGCGCGCAGGTGGATCGAGGGAGTCTCCTCACCGCTCGTCAGTGAGCACACCACCCTGAACGTGGCTTTCTAAGAAATGTGCGACCGGAGGTCGGGTTTCGCCAGGTCACACGTAGCGTGAAGTGAAGAGTTTCTGGCTGTTCACGGTGGTGTGGACGTGGTCAGTCCTCAGCCCACACGTGCCCGCCGTGCCGTCGGGGAGTGGGCCCACCCTGGGGAAGCCCTGAGCACGCGTGCTCCCCGAGAGCGCAGCTGGGCTCCGCATGCTCAGTGGGGGACACTCATCTACGCGGAGCGGGAGGCGCCCTGGGCGAGGAGTGTGGGTGCAGCCCTGAAATGAGCTGTTGGCAGTGCAGGTGAGGAGCTCATGGCTGCAGGAATCTGCTGCTCTGACATCTGTGTAGCTGTCCATTGGCGACAAAGTTTGATTTTACTTCCTGGGTTTCTGCATCCTCGGAAACACGAGAGAAGAGACTTAACAAGGAAACCATGTCCAAAACCTCAACGAGGCAGTTGCCAGATAAGGAAGATTCCAGGGTGAAACCAGTGTCCTTCATGCACACCGGCAGCCAGTGAGACTCTTCAAGGTCGCAGGGAAGTGTCTAAGGAGGGGTGTGTAAGCTCCCCTGGGCGAGGGCGGCCGGGCTGCTGAGACAGGTCCCGGAGGCCTGCGGAGGGCGGCCCAGGACGTGCTGCAGGGCAGGCTCTGGAGTTCTCTCCTGGACCTCCCGAGCCCTGGTGGGGGGCGCTCCGGGGAAGCTGTGATGGTGACGGTGACGGTGACGGTGACGGTGACGGTGACGACGAGGACGATGGAAAGCAGGGTCAGTATGGACAGGGGATAGTTAGCTGGCAGGAAGCTGCTTCTCATCTGAATCGCTGGGACATTATGTGAGAACTAGAGGCCCAGTGCATGAAATTCGTGCAAGGGGCTCGGCCCTCGCAGCCCCGGCTTCGTCTGGAAGGTCGTCCAGAAGGTTGTCCTGCTGTTCGGCCTAATTAGCATATTAGCTCTTTATCATATAGAATGTGTTCTCCTAAGACAGTGATGGGGAACCTTTTGAGCTCGGCGTGTCAGCGTTTTGAAAAACCCTAACTTAACTCTGGTGCCGTGTCACATATAGAAATTTTTTGATATGTGCAACATAGTAAAACAAAGACTTATATTTTTGATATTTATTTTATATATTTAAATGCCATTTAACAAAGAAAAATCAACCAAAAAAATGAGTTTGCATGTCACCTCTGACATGCGTGTCATAGGTTCGCCATCATTGTCCTAAGACATGGGTGAACCTGAGGACATTACGCTCAGTGAGACGGGCCAGACACCAGAGGCCAGTCTGTGATGCGCCTGCAGGAGGGGCTGTAGAGACAGGTGTGTCGGACAGGAAGTAGCGTGGGTCCCGGGGCCGGGCAAGGGAGGGAGCACGTTAATGGGGGAGTGTCAGTGGGAAGATGGAAAGTTCTGGAGATGACGGCGGATGGCTGCATGACAGTGTGAATGCTTGATGGCCTGCCCTGGGCACTGGGCAGCGGTGAGGAGAGGAGCTTCTGTGTCGGGTGTATTTCCCCAGAATGTGTTTCCTGTGAGCGGCTCGTGTTCTGGGTTCAGCACGTGGCTCGTGGCCTCTGGTCTCACTCCTGCTGTTCAGTGTGGCTGAGCTGTAGCAGCCAGGGCGCCGGCGGGAGACAGCACATGGCTGACCCTCGGCCCGTCCGCTTCAGGCCTGCAGGCTGGGTGGGCCCAGTGCCCTCTGTGAGAGGAGGTGGGTGTGGCGAAGGCCTGCTCCAGCCGACGTCCTGCGTGTCTGACGTCTCAGTCTCATGTTCCGGTGTCAGGTGCCCTCGGCGTCCCCCAGGCGGGTCAGCTTCCGTCCTGGCCCTCATGGCCCCTGCTCCTCCCTGGCATCTGTGCCCCGGTGAGTGCCAGGCACAGCGCCAAGAGCCGGAGACACACCACGCACGGGCGGCCCTGCTGTGAGGGTCCCCCACCGGGAGGGCCGACACCTAGCAGATCCGTGTAACGTGCTCCCTGCGCGGTGGTCGGCACGGAAAGGACTGGCCTCGTGCCCGGCTTTTTGCTCATTCCCGTTACTGCCTCTCGACAACACGTGTTCTAGTGCCTGACCCCAGACACCCTCCGAGCCATAAATGAGAAACCCTTAGGTACATATTATAAACAAATCAGAAAACTCCGGTCATTGCAAACTCAAACGTTTAAGTTTCTCTTTCCTAGGCACACTTCATGTGCCCTAAATGTAGAGGGTCGCATACATTTCTTTGTCAGACAAGAGCAAGAGGAGCTATTTTATAAATTAGAGTCAGGTGCGCTGGGCCGAGCGAGGCGTGCACAGCCGCCTGCCCCCAGCAGAGGGCAGCAGCTCCCTCTGAACGCTTCCTGCCAGCTGCGAGGCTCCCAGCCCTGCTCGCCCGTGAGCGCCAGCCCCGCTGGAAACCAGCACAGGCAGGTCCTGTCTCCTTCTTCATGCAGGTGCCATAGGAATGCGAGGTCCTGCCGGGAAATACCGCTGGAAAACAAAGTCACTGAAGACGCAGCCTGTTTGCTTAACCCGCCAGGAGAGAGAGCTCAGGGGTTTCCTTGACAGTGACCCTCTCCTGCTCGCTCAGCGCCTCTGTGAGCCGCTCCGGGCACTGTCCCCAGACGAGCAGAGCTGGCCCTGAAGCTGGCCGGCGGCAGTGGGAAGATCCACTTCGGGTGGGGACAGCAGCCAGTGAGCGCGTAGCTCCGTGTTCTGCGGTGATCGGGACGGAGAGGGGACCTGAGGACAGTGGTGCGGCGGGGGGGCGGGGAGGGGGGAGGGCAGTGTATGTGGGTGCCGGGGCTCCTCAGGAAGGGAGGGGCTCTGGGGAGGGCCCCAGGCGGAGGGTCAGACCCTGAGGCAGGAGGCCCTGTGAGAGCAGCCATCAGGGCGCCTGGTGGGACTTTCGGACACGAACTGGCACCCAGAGCCCCCAGGCCATGCGGCAGTTTTGGATGTTCTCTGAGCAGAGGGGCGCCCATTGTCAGGGCTCCATCAGCCCGGAGGGGCAGAGTGGAGGGGAGCTGTCCGGGCCGCTAACGCTGAGTGGGCGCTGAGAACTCTAGGAACGCTGTTGCATAAATCTAAAGAGCCAGGCCGGACGGGAAATACTTCAGTTTGCAGCGCATGGCCCCTGACTTGAGGACAGGATCGTGAGGAGGCGTGTAAAGCCTTGAAAGCAGCCTCTGTCGGTACCTACATGAAGGGTCAGGCTGTGTCCCAGTAAGACTTCATTTACAAAAACAGTCAGTGAGCGAGAGAGGTCTTTAGACCACTGACGATAAGAATGGTGTACCCAGCATGCACTGCGGCCGCCCCTGGCCAGCCCTGCAGGGCGGTGTTGCACACACTGTGGCCGCCCCTGGCCAGCCCTGCAGGGCGGTGTTGCACACACTGTGGCCGCCCCTGGCCAGCCCTGCAGGGCGGTGTTGCACACACTGCGGCCGCCCCTGGCCAGTCCTGCAGGGCAGTGTTGCACACACTGTGGCCGCCCCTGGCCAGTCCTGCAGGGCAGTGTTGCACACACTGTGGCCGCCCCTGGCCAGTCCTGCAGGGCAGTGTTGCACGCACTGTGGCCGCCCCTGGCCAGTCCTGCTGGACAGTGTTGCACACTGTGGCCGCCCCTGGCCAGTCCTGCAGGGCGGTGTTGCACGCACTGTGGCTGCCCCTGGCCAGTCCTGCAGGGCAGTGTTGCACACACTGTGGCCGCCCCTGGCCAGTCCTGCAGGGCGGTGTTGCACACACTGCGGCCGCCCCTGGCCAGCCCTGCAGGGCGGTGTTGCACACACTGCGGCCGCCCCTGGCCAGCCCTGCAGGGCGGTGTTGCACACACTGTGGCCGCCCCTGGCCAGTCCTGCTGGACAGTGTTGCACACACTGTGGCCGCCCCTGGCCAGTCCTGCTGGACAGTGTTGCACACACTGTGGCCGCCCCTGGCCAGTCCTGCAGGGCGATGTTGCACACACTGTGGCCGCCCCTGGCCAGTCCTGCTGGACAGTGTTGCACGCACTGTGGCCGCCCCTGGCCAGCCCTGCAGGGCGGTGTTGCACACACTGCGGCCGCCCCTGGCCAGCCCTGCAGGGCGGTGTTGCACACACTGCGGCCGCCCCTGGCCAGTCCTGCTGGACAGTGTTGCACACACTGTGGCCGCCCCTGGCCAGTCCTGCTGGACAGTGTTGCACACACTGCGGCTGCCCCTGGCCAGCCCTGCAGGGCAGTGTTGCACACACTGCGGCCGCCCCTGGCCAGCCCTGCAGGGCGGTGTTGCACGCACTGTGGCCGCCCCTGGCACGGTCCTGCAGGCGTGCTGCCCTCGCGTTCTCTAGGTGGGGCGTGCGGCTGTGGCTCCAGCGCCTCCCGGCACTGAGGCTCCCTGCACAGCCTCTCATGGGCCGAGCATCAGGCCAGGGCTCAGGCCAGACTTGCTGCCCGGCGGGAGGGGTTACCTCACGTCCTGTCTTTCAGCTTCATGAACAGACGTGTCATCTCCACCAACCCCTACCTCGGGGGCACCCCCAACGGCTATGCCCACCCCAGCGGGACGGCGCTGCACTACGACGACGCCCCCTGCGTGAACGGCTCGGTGAGTGCACAGCCCCAGGGAGCGGTCGCTGTCGGACATCGGCTGACACGTGATAACACCTCCATCCCATCTCTCCTGTCCTTGTTTCTGACAAGTTGTCCATCTTAATCTGCATTTGGACACGTAGGCGTTTGACACCCGTAGGCAGTTTCTCCTTCAGGGCTCCATGTCCCCGTCATAATTAACCGTTCGCACTCCCTAAGCACCGACCGAGGAGAACACGTTAGAGTGCGAGCCTTGGGTACGTCCTAGTGAGGTGCGCTGTCAGTTACCAGGGAGTCGCCATTCCGGGGGCACATGCTGAGCAAGCACCATCCGAGGCACATGTGGGAGGGAGGGGAGGAAGGTGGGAAGGTGGCAGGAAGGGAGGGAGGCAGGGAAGGTGGCAGGGAGGGAGGGAGGCAGGGAAGGTGGCAGGGAGGGGGGGAGGCAGGGAAGGTGGCAGGGAGGGAGGGAGGCCGGAAGGTGGCAGGGAGGGAGGGAGGCAGGGAAGGTGGCAGGGAGGGAGGGAGGCCGGAAGGTGGCAGGGAGGGAGGGAGGCAGGGAAGGTGGCAGGGAGGGGAGGAAGGTGGGAAGGTGGCAGGGAGGGAGGGAGGCCGGAAGGTGGCAGGAAGGGAGGGAGGCAGGGAAGGTGGCAGGGAGGGAGGGAGGCCAGAAGGTGGCAGGGAGGGAGGGAGGCCGGAAGGTGGCAGGAAGGGAGGGAGGCAGGGAAGGTGGCAGGGAGGGAGGGAGGCCGGAAGGTGGCAGGAAGGGAGGGAGGCAGGGAAGGAGGGTGGGAGGGAAGGAGGCAAGGAGATGGGGAGGCGGGGAGAGGGGGAGGCGGGGAGAGGGGGAGGCGAGGAGATGGGGAGGCGGGGAGAAGGGGAGACGGGGGGAGGGGGAGGAAATGCTGCCATAGCCGGGGCCATGCTACAGGCTCAGGACCTTCTCCCTCTGGGGCCTTGGCGAGCCGGCGGTGCCTGGCGCTGAGCAGGTGCGGTGTGGCCTTAGCTTTTCGCTGCCTTGTCCCACGTACAATAGCAGAGCTCACCAATAATCGTTTGTTGACGTGTCTGCACATCACTCCCGTTTATTGGTCGGCTGTGCCGGCCTCCAGGTGGTCACAGGTGAGCTGAGCCATGGATCGAGGGAGAGGCTCACAGCCCGTCCTGCCACGTGTCTCCAAGTCCTGAGCGGGTCAGTGGGCATCCGTATCCACGCAGGCTTTAGAGGGGGCACAGGGTATGTTTACTGTGATGGTTTCCAACCCTGAAGGTAGTTTAGATTTTTTCTCCCTGTTCTGCTTACCCATTCATTTCTCAGTATTTTGATGGATGTTATCTCTCAGCTCCCTGCTAGCCATCATCATCAAACCCCACCTGCCAAGGCAGGACCGGAGACCGTTGCCTTCCTGAGGGTAGGGAGGGGCAGGGACGCCAGCTCTCAGTAATAGAAGCAACTGAAAATCGGGTTCCAGCCATGGCCTCCTCCCTCAGACCCCTGCCCCATCGGGCTGCCCGGGACCCTGCCCAGCAGTCTGTCCCGAGCAGTCTGTCCCTCCTTACTTGATTCTCACATAGCCCCCCCTCCTTCTCCAGTCCCCTGTTACCCCCCCCTCCCCCCTCCCTCTCCTCTGTGTCCAGCTCTGTGCTGGGGCTGAGCACAGGATGGATGAGATGCTGCCGTTGTCCTTAAAGGGCCTCCAGGCTAGTGGGTGAGAAAGGCAGGGGGAGGCGAGCTGAGTGGGGACCTGGCCGGGCAGGGCCTGTTCAGGCAGATGCAGGTGAATACTAGGGTCCGTGGTGGTCAAGGGTGAGGGTGTGAGGGAGCCTCTCCGACACCCAGCTGGGCTGCAGGGTCCACTGGTTGGGGTCCTGCTTGAGGCTGGGGGGGGGGGGGGGAGAAGCCGCGTCCTGTCCCACAGTGAGAAAGCATCGGGTCCAGCCAGTCTCCTCCTCCGCCCCATTCCCGCCACCACCTTTACCCGGTGCCTGCAGCCTGCACCCCGTGGAGAGGCTGTGCGGCCCACCAACCCATCACTTAGGAAGGCCCGGGTAGCCCCTGCAGAGCAGCTTGGGGGGGGGGGGGCGGTCCTGAGCCTCGTCCTGGTCACTGCCGTTTTCAAGGTGGGCCCTGCTCTCCTGCCGCATGTGCCCCGCAGCCACCAGCTTCTCTTCTGACCCACCTTGGCCCTGTCCGCTGCCAGGGTCCCCTCCAGAGGGCGAGCGGTCTGCGTCTCCAGCCTGATTCGGGCAGCTCGTTCAGAAAGGAAACCCACACCTCCCTCTAAGTCTCTCTCCAAGGCCCTCACTCCTTCCCCAGTCCACACCTGCCACGGGGCGTGAGGGTGAGGAGGTGGGAGCCACGGGCACCACCCCCCCCACCCCCCCGGCCTGTCCCATTGTTCTGGTCTAGGCGCAGCTCAGGCCCACAGGGACGAGGTTGCTCCAGGCCCTGGGAACCTGCGCAGAGGCTCTGCAGGAGGGATTGTCCTGGGACCCTGTGGGCAGGAGCTGGGCGCGTCCCCTGTGCAGTCCTGGCGCTTTGGCTCACGGGGCGTCCTGGCAGAGGCCTTGCCCTACCCAGTTCCCCGCCGCTGGGCGCTGGGACCAGGCCGTCTCTCTGGGGAGGGCTGCTCTTCTCTGTTTATGAAGTTCGCACTTTTGACCCCAAACCGCACTTGTTGGCGTTTCATTTTCAGTAACTCTCAGCCATTCAGGGTCCCCTGAGGCCCAACGCAGGCGTTAGTGAGTCTTGGGGAGGGTCTCTGACACACACAAAAGTGGGGGAGCACACCCACTTTTAATCTAGAAACTTCTATGCAGTTTCTAAGTTACCCGTGTGACTCAGTCCCTTGGTATTTTGGGGAAATGCTTGTCTAGTCTAGACCCTGTAATCGCTCTGGACAAATGCATGCGCGCCTGTCATTTTGAGGCGCTCATGTCCGAGTTTATCTGCACGTCCCCCTATTTTTAGCTCGTAGCTGGGTCCCAGCATCACCAAAATAGCCACTGCAGCGACGGCAAGGAGAGCAGCCTGCCGTGAGGTCTGGGCCCTGCTCCTATTTTTATAACAAAGGCTGTAATCACCGTCTGCGGGAGTGAAGAACGACATAAAGACGGCGAAATAAGCATCGTCCAGGAGCTAACATTCCCCGTGTTTCTGAATGCAGAGCAGTTCCTGGAGGCCTTTAAGACTTAAAAGGCTCGCCGTGCTGAGTGCTGGGTGAATGTACACTTCAATGTCCCTGCCCTCCAATGGCCTGTGGCTATTTTAGTCCTTTAGGGAAAGGTTTTCGTCAAAATAGTGCCATTATGTCAATTCTACTTGGAAACCTGTTTTCTGTGATGATTGGATTTCTTTTCAAGACCGTTTTGGTCGAGGCACTTCAATCAGCCCTAACAGAGTGGGGGCAGGGGGCAGGCGGACAGTCCCCATAAACGCGTCACCGATGCACTGGCTCCGGGCTCTGAAGTCCAGCCCCTCGGTAACCCCGGGAGCGGGGCACAGAGGCAGCGCCCTGGGCTTGGGAGCCTCTGCCTCAGTTTCCTCCTGCTTCCTGAGATCCTGTGAGAGCTTGAGGCAGTGTTCGTAACGCACTCCAGACAGCGTCTAGAACCCGGTAGTGACCGCAAAGTAAAAGAAGGTGCTCGCTGGGGTCTGCACACGTGTGCTGGGCAGGGCCCGAGCCCCATCCCCGTGTCCCCACCCAGCATGCCTTCCCCGCCAGCACGCGGCTCTGCTTTTTGGATCTGGGGACCCCCGAGATCTAAAGAAATGTCATGTCAGCCCTTTTTGTCCTGCTTTACCAGACGGAGCAAAAACTCCCCAAGCCAGCGACTCTGGGGCAATCTAAGGGAGGAGAAGGCTGTCCCTAAGTCCCGGACGCAGGGCAGGCCTCGCGGCCAGCTCGCCTGCGAACGCGTGTGCTTTACAGCAGCGGGCACGGGGGTGCGGGTGCGAACGCCGTGTCCGCGCTAACATCTGCTCTGCTTGTGGCCGAGGCACTAACCGCGCAGCTGTGTGTGTTGCAGTGGGACCCCGACGGCGGCTCGGCCGCGTCCTGCCGCGGAGGCCCGGGAGGAGAGGTGCCGTACGATAACTTGCCGTCTCCGAAAATCTTTGCGCGCTACCCGCCTGCTGACAGGAAGGCTGCTAGGCCGCCTGCCGACACCCTGTCCTGTAACCATTACAAGCAGCCCACGTCCTGCGGGCTGCCTCCCGCCCCGTCTGTCACTAACACCTCTTCTGTGGGGAGGGCGTCTCTCGGGCTCGGCTCCCAGGTACAGCACCGCGTTCCCTCCTCTAGAACCCCTCTAGCCACAGCCCCCCTCCGAGTTTCGCAGTGATGCCCACTGTAGTGAGCGAGGCTCACCTGGGAAAGCAGTCGGCAGGGGAGCTGCCTCCGTACCCCTCCCCGGCCCTGCTGTGGGCTCCGCTCCCCCTGCACACCGGCTCTTTCCGGCCTCGGGATATTCCCCGGGAATTTTGCTAAAGGCAGAGACTTAAAGGACCGGGAAGGTAAAACTTGGCAGAGGATTCTTGAGCTGCAAGTGTTTTTAATGTTTCCCTTAAACATCAGCACAGGTGGCCCCAGGAGTAGCTGCTTTTTGACCTTTAAAAGTAAACTAGGCTCATTCAGGACACTGCGGTGTTTTTCCCAAATGGGCATAAAAGTGCTCCCTGACCCCAGGTAGGTGGCGAGGATTGGGATTACCGGTCCCTAAGTGGGAAACAGCCTTGCTGTCAGACTGTCCCTCCTCATCTTCATAGCAAACGTAGCGTTCCCGTATAAACACTGATGTGTCTTCCTGCTCCGTCAGCCTCAGACTTTCATGCTTTGCATACAGCCCCACGCCCGTGTGTGCGAGCGCCCCTAGAGCAGAGGGGCATGGGAGGGGTTGCTCCCTGTGCCCTGTGTTGGGGGAGCCCTTACAAAGTGACGAGCCAGGGAAGCCCTGGGGATGTCAGACCGAGTGGCACTCAGAAGTCCTCCCAGCCGAGGCTCTCGCCAGAATCACAGCACAGCTTTTGTTTGCTTCTGATTTTTTAAAAAAATATATGTTTTTATTGATTTTCAGAGAGAGAGAAAGAGAGAGGGAGGGAGGGAGAAACATTGATTGGCTTCCCCCGGCATGCCCCCTACTGGGGATGGAGCCCACAACCTGGGCATGTGCCCTGACCGGGAATCTATTCAGTGACCTCTTGGTTCCTGGGTCAGCACTCAACCACTGAGCCACACCAGCCGGCTGTTTGCTTGTGATGTTTGGCGACAGTTGCTCAGAGCCGCCCAGTGAGCCTGAAGGCCGGGCGGGGAGCCAGCGGCTCCGGCCTCGTTGAGTGCGGCGGCCAGACGCCCAGCGGTTATAAGTCGGGGCGCAGGGGTTGTGGCTCGCTCAGCAGCCGAGTGATGGAGCCAAATTTAGGCCCCGGCCACAGCGCAGGAGGCGGCACGGCCTTGGAGCGCGGGCCTGGACACCCACAGTCCACCCCTCCCGCCAGCTGCATGTCTGCACATAGAGCTGTCCATTGCTGAGAAAATGCACCTGCTGGCCTGCAGCCACCCAAGAAGTAGCGATGCTGTGGAATTTTTAAAAGCCTGTGGTTGGTCAAAATTTAGTTTAAACTGTTTCTACGTCACGCCTTTCTCGCTTCCTTCCTGAGAGCCTGCAGTGAATAGGCGTAGTTATGTGCCCGGTGGGTGTCAGTCCCCGCGGAAGCGCTGGCAGAGAAACCAGCTGCAGTGGCCTCCCCCTGTCCGAAGTGCAGGCTCCCAGCGTCTCAGCCCAGCTGCCCGGCTCCCCCTGTGCCCACCTCCATCGCAGCTCTCAGCGCACATGTAGCTCTGCTTTCCTGCCCAGGGCGCCCTGCGTCCCTCACGCCCGAACCTCAGCCTCCGGGGCACCCCAGCTCCCAGGGTTTGGGAGCCAAGTTGTTCCTGCCACCCTGAGTTTTTCTGTCAGTGCTAGATGCTATTTACAGCGTCACAGAGGGAAGCAGTGTCCCGCAGAACAAAAACACTGGTGTTGTGGATCGTTTGTTTTAACTTCCTTCTGTTTATTTCAACAGTTGAAGAGTAAAAAGCCCCCACTCGCATCCAGCGGGGCTGCGGGAAAAGGCAAGCCCCTGAGCAGCCAGCCCAAGAAGGCCGAGCCGGCCGCCGGCGTGAGGCGCACGCCTTCCAGTGAGTGCACCCCTCGTCCGTGGTCGCGGCTCCTCTGCAGCTGTGGAGCGGGCTGGGGGGACCCGTGGAGAGATGGGCCTGCAGCCCATCATCCTTCCCCACCTGCCCGACGGGAGGGTGGTGCCGGCCTCTGACCCGGCCTCGGGACCTCGTGCACCAGGAAAGGCCAGGCTGTGCCAGGTACTGGCCTCCGACCCAGCTTCAGGACCTTAGTGCACCAGGAAAGGCCGGGCTGTGCCAGGTACTGGCCTCCGACCCAGCTTCAGGACCTCTGTGCACCAGGAAAGGCCGGGCTGTGCCAGGTACTGGCCTCCAACCCAGCTTCAGGACCTTAGTGCACCCAGGAAAGGCCGGGCTGGCTGCCCGAGTCTAGGGCTGGTTACGCCCATTTCAGTGGAGGCACCTGGAGGTGCAGCTGCAGGGCCTGGGCTTTGGGTCAGGGGCCTTGGTTTGTGTCCCTGACCTGTTGGTGACTCAGCGACTTTGGTGAAGTCACGTCTACCCTCTAAGTGGGGCTCCCACGTGCTGGGTGTGGAGAAGCAGCTGCCGTGGTTTCTGTGATGGAACAGCCCAAGTGGTCACGGCCTCAGGGCCCTAGAGAAAGACGGGCTTGGAAGGAGTCCGCGTGGCAAGGAGAACAGTCCGTCCCTTTCCCCGGCCTGGCCCCCCGCCGCCTGCAGGCAGGTGCTGCCGCCTGCCCCCTGGTCCACGTGCGGAATGACCTGAGCGATGCACGCTTCCCTGGGGCTCACGGCCGTGAGTGACAACCACAGGGAGTGCCAGGCTGCAGGCCGCCCAGCTGGCAGGGAGATGCCCGCCCGGCACCGCACCTCCCTTTCTCCGGGGCCACGCTGTCACCATGTCTGTCAGTGAATCTTCAGATGCGACGATAAGACAGTGCCGTTGTTGCCAAGGTGCCTGAGCTGGACGAGGGTCACACAGAGGGTCACACAGCAGACGCGGGTCCCAGAGCTCCAGGGGCCTGGCCGGCAGGGAGGGTTCCAGGGGAGGGAGTGTCCGTGTTTTCTGACTCAGGCCCCGTGGAGCTGGCAGATCAGGCCTCCGCTCCAGCTAGTGCCCTGTACCTGCCGCCTGCACTGCCAGGGGCCTCAGTCATGGGGTACGCGGCGGGCGGCGGGGCGGGGGGCGTACATGCACACCCGCCTCCGAGCTGCTCAGCAGGGCAGGCTGCTCCTGCCCGGGACACAGGTGATCTGCACGGGAGTCACCCTCAGAGCAGGCAGGTGGGAGCCAGCGGGCCAAAGCCTGCTCCTCATAATTCGTGGGATGTGCTGACCTTCGACCTCCTCTCGCAAACCGTACTTCCCTGACGCAGGCTCGTGCCTGCAGTCACTTAAAATCCTGCTGGTGCCCCGTGGGGAGGGCACCGAGCTTGTGCAAGACCAGGCACGGAACCCCTCAGTCACGGCTGATTTCATTCCCGTGATTGATTCCTCTATTTTATGACGCCTTCTGGAAGGAACTTTTATTAACTGTGGTGACATCTAATGGTGACAAATGAGAGAAATAATTGCCTTCTGTGTTTTTGCTGCGTTCACTGTAGACCGGGGGTGGGGCACGTGTGGGCTGGGGAAAGCGCCTTTGTTTGGAGATCAGAGCCTGGGGTTTGGACTCTGCTCTGTCTGCCCAGCACATCCTGCCCCCGAGCCACGGACAGCAGTGCTCGGCGTCCGCTGGCCGGTTTGGCCACTTGCTGCCGCCATTGTGTCCTCTGTGCATGTTGAGTGGGGAGGGACGGCCTCGGGGGCCTCCATCGGTAGCGCTCCGCTGCCGTCCTTGGGAGCTACACCTTGTCCCAGGCACTGTGAGACGGGCTTTAGATACAAAGATCAAATTATAAAGCCGCCCCCACGCGAGGCCTGGGCACCTGCTTGAGAGCGGGCGCAGCTGCGCTGGAGGGCTTTGCGGCCCCTCGTGCCACGGCCTGCATCATGGCCATTGCTCTGCCCTCTGCGTCTCTGTGACGCCCTTTCTCGTCTAGCGAGGGCATCGGGCAGACAAGCAGCGGCGCACGTGGCGAGGACGGAGCTGCTGAGCCTGATGCGCTGAGCCGCAGTCAGGCCTGGGCGGTGCGATGCCAGAAGCAGTGGGAGGACCGGCTGAGGTGGAATCTTCGAACATGGTGGCCCTGGGCCCGTCTCATTAGCTTCATCACCTCTTCCTCTCTCCAGTGTATTTTTCAGAAGGACCTTTCCTAAATTACTCTATAAATGTTAACTTAATCCACCCCCCCCCCCCGGGAATGTCCCCATTTCACAGATGAGGACACTGAGGCACAGGGCGATGAAGTACTTTGTTCCAGGTCACACAGCTACAGGTGACAAGCTGGGATTCAGACCTAACAGTCGAGCCCCAGACCCCGCCCTGTGTTGCCGCTTCCTTTTCTCATTGTCCGTTCGTTCACCCACTGCTGCTATTGCGTGTTCAGTCCGTGCCGGTGCGTAGCTGCTGCTGGGTCAGCAAAGCGCTGGACAGGGCTGTGGGCCAGCTGTGGCGGGCTGGGGGAGAAGTTTAAACCTACGGGCACTAGCCCACAGCCAGGATTGCATGTGACGCTGACGCCTCCTCCCTGCAGATGTGGGTTGTGCACTGTGGCGAGGTGCCGGCGGGAAGGGAAGAGGATTATGGGATTTCTTAATACTGTCTTTTCACGTAGAACATTGTTCCTGAGAATCCTGGATAATCAGCTGGTTCAGACCGGCCCGTTCTCTTCCGTCGGATTCCAGGGAGCAGCTCTGAGTTGACTGAGCGAGCGGGCTGACCGAGGGCTCTGGGAAGCTCCCTCGTGTCTGCAGGCTCACTGCTTTCCCTGCGTGTCTTTCAGACGCTGACCAGTACAGATACGGCAAGAACAGGGTGGAAGCAGACGCCAGGCGCCTGCAGACCCAGGAAGAGGAGCTGCTGCGGCGGAAGGAAGCCCTGCGGACCAGGCTGGCCCAGCTCCGGAAGGAGAGGAGGGACCTGCGGGCCGCCATCGAGGCGAACGCTGGTAGGAGGGCGCCCGTCCGGGAGGGGCTGCCTCCCTCTGTCTGCCGCAGGCCTCTCATCAGCTTGTGGCTCAGATTTAGCTGGCGTCCCACACTGCGTCCTGGGGGTCTAGAGGCACTGCCCGTTAGCCGAGGGCAGGTGCCGGGTGCGGGAGTCTCGGGACAGGCAGGGGGGATGGGTGCTCAGGTGCGGGAGTCCCGGGACAGGCAGGGGGACAGGTGCCAGGTGCGGGAGTCCCGGGACAGGCAGGGGGACAGGTGCCGGGTGCGGGAGTCCCGGGACAGTCAGGGGGGATGGGTGCTCAGGTGCGGGAGTCCCGGGACAGGCAGGGGGACAGGTGCCGGGTGCGGGAGTCCCGGGACAGGCAGGGGGGATGGGTGCTCAGGTGCGGGAGTCCCGGGACAGGCAGGGGGACAGGTGCCAGGTGCGGGAGTCCCGGGACAGGCAGGGGGACAGGTGCCGGGTGCGGGAGTCCCGGGACAGGCAGGGGGATGGGTGCCGGGTGTGGGAGTCCCGGGACAGGCAGGGGGGCAGGTGCCGGGTGCGGGAGTCCCGGGACAGGCAGGGGGACGGGTGCCGGGTGCGGGAGTCCCGGGACAGGCAGGGGGACAGGTGCTCAGGTGCGGGAGTCCCGGGACAGGCAGGGGGATGGGTGCCGGGTGCGGGAGTCCCGGGACAGGCAGGGGGATGGGTGCCGGGTGCGGGAGTCCCGGGACAGGCAGGGGGACAGGTGCTCAGGTGCGGGAGTCCCGGGACAGGCAGGGGGACAGGTGCCGGGTGCGGGAGTCCCCGGACAGGCAGGGGGATGGGTGCCGGGTGCGGGAGTCCCGGGACAGGCAGGGGGACAGGTGCTCAGGTGCGGGAGTCCCGGGACAGGCAGGGGGACAGGTGCCAGGTGCGGGAGTCCCGGGACAGGCAGGGGGATGGGTGCTGGGTGCGGGAGTCCCAGGACAGGCAGGGGGACAGGTGCCGGGTGCGGGAGTCCCGGGACAGGCAGGGGGATGGGTGCTCAGGTGCAGGAGTCCCGGGACAGGCAGGGGGACAGGTGCTGGGTGCGGCAGTCCCGGGACTGGCAGGGGGACAGGTTCCAGGAACTGTCCCGCCTCTGGCCCGCTGGCAGGGATTGTCTGGAGCCTGAGGGCTGTGAGTGGGCACTGCGTCCATGAGGCATTGGGTCCCTCGCAGGAGGACAGTCCACAGGGACAGGTAACGTTCAGAGGCAGGTGAGGGGTCTCCACACGGTACAGAGAGCCCTGCACCCCAGAGGAGAGCCCACTGAGGGAGGGCAGTGTGAGTATTGGAAGGGATGGGGTGAGGCCAGGTCAGGGCAACCACCGCGGAGCGGAGCTGAGTAAAGGCAGCCCTGGAGTGAGGCAGGCCGCTGTGCTGGTCCAGGCTGGCTTGTTTGTGCCGGCAGGAGTGGGCACAGGGTGGGGGTCAGGGGGAGCCTGGTTAGGGACGGAACTGCAGACACACAGGCCTCAGCTCCAGGCTGGTGTCACCTGGGCAGCTCTGACCCAGGTCTCCGTGTGGTTGGCCCAGCACGGGGGGGGGGAGGGGGGGGGGGGAACGGGTGGGAGCAGAGAGCCGGGGAGACGCCTGCCTCCAGGTAGCTCAGTGTGCGGGAGCCGGGGGGGGGGGGGTGGGGGGGGAGGGCGGCTGGCACACGGCTACGGAGCTGGAGCCTTTGCTGACCGCCTCCGTGACGGGCATGAAAGTGCTCTTGCCATGTAAAGACTGGAGGCGGGCGCTGGCTGGGCAGGACCGAGATCACTGCTCGGAGGCGGGGCGGCTGCCAGGCGGAGTGCAGTGCCGGGCGGAGGGTGGGAGCGGATGGTGACGACACAGAAGGGTTAGACCCGCTTCTGGCCTCAAAGCAGAGCCCCACGTGCTGTGCACCGGCCCAGGCCACACACTCATTACCCTTGGATTCGGTTTTCTTAGCTGCCCTGTGGGTACAGTGCCAGCCTTCCTGTGTCACTGCCACACGTTGCAGTGATGAAACACGTGTGCCCGGGAGAAACGCGTGCCATGCTCTGCGGAGGAGTGAGGTGTTTGACGTAGGGCAGGAGGGCTCGGGAGGCGGTGGCGGAAGAATCAGCCGCAGCTCACGGTCCATGTGACAGATGAGCACGCTGAGACCCCCTGGGGGCCCTTCTTCCAGCTGCAGCCAAGGCAGGGGTGGGGTGCGGGCGTGGCTCCTCTCAGGGCTGATGTGAGTGTCAGAGGGACCCAGGTCTGGAGCCTGAGCCGGCGTCTCCCCGCCCCCTCGCTCCCAGGCAGGAAGGCGCAGCTGGCCCTAGAGGAGAAGCTGAAGGCACTGGAGGAGGAGTGCCGGCGGAAGGAGGCGGAGCGTGTCAGCCTGGAGCTGGAGCTCACCGAGGTCACCGAGAGCCTCCGCAAGGCCCTGGCCGGCGGCGTCACCCTGGGGCTGGCCATCGAGCCCCGCTCGGGGACCTCGAGTCCACAGGTACCGTCCCCCGCGCCCCTGAGCACCGCACGCACGGCGCCCAGAGAAAACACCCCCGTTCCTCTAGACTGGCCGCCCTCCCAGCCTCACCCAGCACAGCACACAGCTGCGCGTCAGCTCCGACACTCATTTACTTGTAACCCTCACCTGAGGGTCTTTTCCCTTTCTTTCTTTCTTCCTTCCTTCCTTCCTTTCTTTTTTTTTTGAGAGAGAGAGGGAAGGGAGGGGAGGGGAGGGAGGGAGGGAGGGAGAGAGAGAGAGAGAGAGAGAGAGAGAGAGAGAGAGAGAGAGAGAGAAACATCAATTTGCATTGAGCCTGCAGCCGAGGTTTGAGCCCTTGACCAGTCAAACCTGGGACCCTTCAGTCCACAGGCTGACGCTCTGTCCACTGAGCCAAACTGGCAGGTCCTGGTCTTTTCCACAGCCCGGAATCCTGGGCCTGCTCTGCCCGGTTCCTCCCATGAGCTGGCCGCGTGCGGTTCCCCCGCTCCTGCTGCGGCTGCCACCACGTCTCTGCTGCCGGGGCTGCGGGTGAGAGGGTGCCTGGGAGTTCGAGTCCCTGGAGAGGGGACTGTGAGAAGCGCGTGCTGGGCTGGAGGCAGAGGACGCGGACTGGGCCTCCCCGCTTCCCAGCATGACCAGCCAGTTGAGCATCTCTCTGCGCCTCCATCATTCTGTCTGTGAGACAGACGTTGGAAGGTGCTCTGAGCACTGGGCAGGGACCACACAGACACACCTGGTGTCCTCACTGTGGGTGGCGTATCCCGAGCCCCCTGTTCCCGGTAAAGGCTCCATCCCTGCTGGAAAGCAGCCTCGCCGCCTCTCTCAGTCCCCAGTGCTCAGGCCCCGGACTCTGGAGAACTCCCCGCTGTCCAGCTGCGAGACCAGTGACGCCGAGGGCCCCGTGCCCGTGAACAGCGCCGCCGTTCTGAGGAAGAGCCAGCCGGCTGGCAGCTCTCCCTGCCGGGGGCACGTGCTTCGGAAGGCCAAGGTCAGTCCCCTGGTGCATGTGGGACGCCTGCTCACCCGCCGGGAGGGGCAGAGGGGCCAGGCGTGTCCCGTCCCACAGCCTTCCACTCAGTGCCACGTGGTGACCTGGTGACCCAGCACAGTCTCCCAGTCCCTCCACCGGCCGCCTGTCCGCTGGTGTTGGAGGTGCCGCAGTGCCTTCTGATGGATCAGCCACTGTTTGTGCTGCAAAGCTTACGACCCCAGAAAAACTTAGAAATGACGTATAGTTCTTTAGAGCAAACAGCTCTGGACGCGGTGGCTGAAGGTGTGCCCCACGGAAAAGCCACACTTGGTGCCATGGCACCTGCCCGTCCAGGCGCGGAGGCCAGGTGCCTCCCTCACACCTCGGGCTCTGGCTGCTCTCGCTGCTCTGTCATCTAGCAGCTCTGAGGCAGTTCCGGGCTGGCTAGAAGCCTTGCTTTCCGCATGGTGGGTCTGGTGTCGGTAAGGCAGGGTTAGCTGCTCACTGCTCGTGGCGTGTTCACGGGAGGGTCCGGCGACCCACACCCGGGAGATTGAAGGCCGTGCACTTGATGGAGACGGGCTGGTGACGGAGGGAGGGAGAGCCACTGTGCGCCTCCCTGGGACAGTCTCAGCCCCCAGGTCCCTAGACTGTGCCCGAGGGGTTGGCACTGAGCCCTCATCCAGGTCCCCTGTTTGCAGACGGGAATGCGGGGACAGCATTGGCTGCTGGGTCCAAGATCCCAGCTTTACGTGGCGTGCGTGCCGCCTCCAGGGGGCTGCTCTCTGCCGTGTTCAGCGTCTGGGGCCTGGGCAGCTCAGCTCCGGCTGCTTCCTCGCGGTGGACGTCCCATGAGGGATGGCGGCGCGGCGGGGGCCCCGCGACCATGCAGCCCGGCCACCGCCCAGGCCGGAGAGCCCGAGGACGCGGCCTCGTGGAGAGTGCGATGGAGCAGGGTTTCCAGGGTTCCCGAGAACAGTGACGAGGGTCCCCCAGCGGCAAGAAGGGGTGGCACGTGGCCTTTCGACTCTGGGACAGTCACCCACTCGTCAGTGCCTCGCACGTGTGGGCTCATCCGCCCGCTGGCCTTTTCCGAGGACGAGAGCAGTCCCAGCACTCGGGCTTGGGAATGTTTCCCGGCAGTGCTCAGGGAGCTCCGGTTCCTGCGGAGGGGGCTGAGCAGGAGAGCGGTGCCGCCACAGGTCGGGTGCGTGCAGGTCACCGCCAGGGTCTCCTAGCGGAGGGCTCCGGAGTGGCCACAATGTCCAGCTGCAGGCCCAGCATTCCCCGCTCGGCCTGGGAAAGCTCTGAGCCCCGGCGGGCGGCTGTGAGCCCCGGCGGGCGGCTGTGAGCCCCGGCGGGCGGCTGTGAGCCCCGTGTGAGCCCCAGCGGGCGGCTGTGAGCCCCGTGTGAGCCCCGGCGGGCGGCTGTGAGTCTAGGCGGGCGGCTGTGAGTAGGTGGGTGGCTGTGAGTAGGTGGGCGGCTGTGAGTAGGCGGGCAGCTGTGAGTCTAGGCGGGCGGCTGTGAGTAGGTGGGCGGCTGTGAGTCTAGGTGGGCGGCTGTGAGTAGGCGGGCGGCTGTGAGTCTAGGCGGGCGGCTGTGAGTAGGCGGGCGGCTGTGAGTCTAGGCGGGGCGGCTGTGAGTAGGTGGGCGGCTGTGAGTAGGTGGGCGGCTGTGAGTAGGCGGGCAGCTGTGAGTCTAGGCGGGCGGCTGTGAGTAGGTGGGCGGCTGTGAGTCTAGGTGGGCGGCTGTGAGTAGGTGGGCGGCTGTGAGTAGGTGGGCGGCTGTGAGTAGGCGGGCGGCTGTGAGTCTAGGTGGGCGGCTGTGAGCCCCAGCGGGTGGCTGTGAGTCTAGGCGGGCGGCTGTGAGTCTAGGTGGGCGGCTGTGAGCCCCGGCGGGAGGCTATGGCCATGCTTTCAGAGCCACCACATGTGAGCTGGGTCCGAGGACTCAGCGCCGGGCTGCCCCAGAGGTCGCACGCCCCTGACAGCCACTGGGCCCAGGGTCTCTCACGCCCTCCTTTGGCCGTGACCCTGAGCCCTCCACTCCAGCCCTCAGATGTGTGCCCAGTGGGGCCTGTGCCCAGCAGTGGAGTTAGCATCTGAACCTGGTTGTGAAGCACTGGCTGTGTGTGTGGGTAACCTCCCACAGTGAGCCGGGCAGGGCGCCTCAGTGGCGTCCTCCCCACACCTGAGTTTGCACGGCCCAGTGGCCGTCGGGGGCCGAGGAGGGGACAGCCTGGGTGGGCGGCACCCAGGGTCACCCTCCTGCGGCCCGAGGGCCCGGAGGTGCCTGTGGTGTCTTGGGAGATCCGTTTGGTTTTGCTTCTGCCACGTTTGCTCTGCCGCTGTCGCCGTGCATTACGCCGGGACTTCTGTTCCGGAAAGGTGAGTATTCCCAGCGTATACTCGGGGGGAGGTGAGCAGGGCACTGTGGCTCAGTGCAGAGGCCTGGCAGCACAGCGGGGTCAGGGTCAGCATCGGACCAGTGCCCCACGCGGCCGCCGAGGACGGAGGGGCCCTGCTCGGGGCCAGGCGCGTGGGGGCCTCCTTGGTCTTCACGGCGGCCCTCAGTCCTGGTTGGGACACGCTGACCGCCTTCCTGGGTCGTGCGGGGATTCTGTCGCGTTCTGAGGACCCGCCATCCTGTCTGGCGCAGATGTGCCCCGACACCTGGAGTGTCTGTCAGCTCTTGCTCTCACTTCCCCGGCAGGAGTGGGAGCTGAAGAACGGGACGTAGGAGAGCGGACGTCACGAGAGGCCGCGGCTCCAGCAGGCCCGCCGTGCCCGGACCTGGCGTACGTTTCTACTGTATGACGTGTCCTGTAAGGAGATGTGCCCGGCCACTTGGCTCCCACGTGGTCTCTTCAGGCGGCCGGGGTGAGGTGATGGAACACCATCCTCCGCCAGGTGGGGTCTCGGCTCCCCCAGTGCCAGCCAGCCAGCCGCCGACGGGGTGCGGTGGGGACTGGCCAGGCCGCGGGGAGCGTGTCGCCCCCAAGGGCAGTGTGCACTTGTCTGTGTCCCCTCCCCCTGCCTGCCCGCCTCCCCTGCCCCTGCCTGCCCGCCTCCCCTGCCGTCCCTGAAGCCCCTACATGTGAGCTGGGTCTGAGGACAGCTGGGAGGCGCTTCCCTGGAGCTCCTGGACAGGAGCTCTGTAGCGGGACGTGCTTTCTAAGCTGCTCACATTTCTGTGTGTGTTGCACTTATCCTTGGGGTTCCCGGAGGTTCCTGCCGATTTTATGAGGATTTTACTGCTTTGGAAAGGCCGTGAGGGTTTTGGATTCTTCGCCCTGTGTCCTCCTTCCCAGTACCACCCCCACCCCCTGCACTGGCGCCACAGTGGCCCATGGAGAGCTGGCAGCCTCACGGGCACACGGCTACCCTTCCCTTCCTAGGCGTCACGGCGGGGGCACTGGAAGTCACAGGTCTATAGCCATAGCACGGAGAGCAGGAGAGGGCCTTCCAGAGCCTCCAGCCCCCCAACTCCCCCGCCCCCAGTTTGCAACTCCGAGCCATGGCCGTGTCCGTGGACCTGGGCTCGCCCCTCCTCCCGGGCACACAGGCCTCGTATGGCCTCCTCATCACTGTGCTGTCTGCCTCTCATGGAGCTCCTGGGTGACCCCCTGAGACCCAGGGGACAGGGAGCTGGCCTCCACGCAGCCTAGCAGCCCACACTGTCCCCAGGCCTCTCAGTGCTCGCTGGGCGCCAGGGTCCTGTGGGGGCTCAGGGTCGGGCTGTATGGGACGTGACCGGCTACACGGAAGCCAGTCCCGCGTGAGGAGCTGGAAGGTGCTTACCTGGGTTCCACCCGGGGCCTGGGCTCCCTGCAGAGCCGCCTGCCGGGACGTTTGTCAGGAGGTCGGCCCTGGCCTGTCCTGCTGATCTCCTCACACACAGGATGGCGCTGGAGGCTGGTCCCCCAGCACTCAGCAGTGACCCCGGGGCGGCCCGGCCTGCTGGGAGCCAGCCAGCGCAGGGAGCACCCAGCCGCACACAGCTCACTTCCTGGAAGGGAAGTGCTCGCTCTGCCGTCGCCTTGCAGCTCCGGGTCCAGTGGTTTCCAGTTAAGCGAGGCCTCACTCGGCCACTGTGCCTGCAGCCGCCTTGGCCCAAGAGAACCTCCAGGTCCGACTCACTACACGGGAGGCCCGGCAGCTGCACTCCTGCCCGCAGCCCGGTGGGTGGGCAACCTCCCGGCCGTGTGCGTCTGCCCAGGGTCCAGCCTTCGACTCCTGGCGGACACAGGCGGCGTTTGTAAAGCCGGGTTTTAATCCACTTCCATACCCACAAGCCTTTAAGGGGGGCGGGGAACTTTCCGCTGGGGTCTGCGGAGCCGCGGAGATGGGGTGCCCCAAGGGGAGGCTGCTGACGCCCACGATAGCGCGTCTCTCTGTGTCCTAGATGTGATCAGAAACCAGCTTAAAGCATTTGCTTCAAAGTGAGTTATTTATTTGTGTATGTTCAGTAAGTATAGCTTCTAATTTATATCTGTACATAGTAGACACACCAGGCTTCTGTCCGATGGGGCGAAGTCCCGTTGCCCTGGGAGAACCGGGTCCCTTAACACATGGTCATGTTCAGAGCGCGGGCCAGACTCCAGGGGTCCAGACGGCATGAGAGGGGGCTGGGGGGGCGCCCTCGTGGTCGCAGCCCCTCCTGCTGGGCCTGAGGCCCTGCCAGCCTCAGAGCCCCTCCACTTGTACACGTTTATGATGTTTCACTCACACCCCCCATGCCCAGAGCAAAGTGGTGGTGAGGGGCTGTCAGGCCTGTGGTCCCCTTTGCCCAGAGTCCCGGGGTGGATGGCGCCACCACAGGCAGGCGGCTGAGCGGGATTGTACCACATGCCGGACTCATGGGGCACGGCCTCCCGCCATCTCTTCCAGCTCTTCTCTCGGGGCAACCCCGGGGACCTCAGACACCCATGGCACACAGCCAGCCTTGCCCCCGACACGGGTGCACCATCTCCCTGTCCCTCACTTGTCCTGGCTGTTTCTGAAAACCCAAGCCCTGGGCCAGGTGGCCATTTGCCACCTTTTGCAAAGTTTGTTTCAAATCCTGGGCCCTGGGCCCGGAGCGGCAGGCTGGTGCGTCAGGGCTGTTTATGCACCAGGTCATGTGACAGGAGCCCCGGGATGGGAGCTGGCGCACCAGCAGGGCCCGCAGCCGACGGCCTGGGCAGCCAGCGCGGACCGGCCTCCCCACAGGGGCTCACCCCGCCGAGGGCTCAGCAACATTGAAATGCACAGCGATTGCCTTCTTTTCTAATGTAATTTTTAACAGGAAACAATGTCAGCTCGTGGCACAGTTTTAAAGAGGGTGATTATCATTATTATTATTATTATTTGTTCCTGCTGTTATGCTGTCTGGTCACCCCGTGGTGGCTGCGTCGATACTGTGAAATGAACTGAAGATGAACTACCACCTTCGTGCCCCACACACGACGCGGCGGCACGGAGGACGCGGAGCCGCCCGGCCGCGGGCGTGGGCACGGGCGCCTGTGAGCGTTCCCGGGGCGTCCCCAGCCTCGCCGTGCAGAGCCGGTGCCCCCGGGCTGCCCGCTAGCCGCCACGGAAGAGTCTTTCCAAGCGGGATCGCCGATCCTAGTTCTTAGGGGCCAGAGGGTGTGTAACAAGAGACTCTGCATTTGACTTGCTCACGGGAAGGGCGTCTAAACTCTCCCAGCAGCCTTTACACCGCAGAGCTTCAGCGGGACCGACCACGCTGTCCACTGTGAGCTCTTCTGCTACGAATGTAATTCTTTCCTTACTGTATTTTTTAAGAACTGAAGTCCTGTTTAAGGTTCTCTGTGACAGACGCAGGAGGCGGAAGGGTGTCCTTAAACGGACTATGTTGGCAGCGCTGTTTAAATGACTGTACATAGATTTTCACTGTTTCTCAATGTATTTAATTCATAAAGTGAAAGATTTTATCAGAAGAAACTGGCCGTGGAAACATTCGTTTCCATTTGCCCCTTTTGTAGCCGCCTCACTTGAGTTTCTTGCTGAAGGACTGTCCTGTCCTGTCCCCGCGTAGCCCGGACCGGCGCCTGTGGCGTGACTGTGTGTCGTCAATAAACCACTTTCCAGGCCTCCTGTCTTCTTCCCACTGACATTTACAGAGAGAGGGAGGGAGGGGGGAGGAGGGAAAAAGAGGGAGGGAGGGGAGGGAGGGAGGGAGGGAAGGGGGAGGGAGGAGGAAGGAGGGAGGGGAAAAGGGGGCGGGCGGCCGTGTGCCAAGCTTGCCTGTTACTCTGGTCCTCTGACGCCTAGGACTTGGCTGCCTGGACGGGCATCCTTCCCAGGCTGGCCAGGCCCTGGGGAGAGTGACGGGCTCGCTGGAGCTCACCTTCCATGTGCAAGCCAAGCCGAGCCCCCCCACCCACCCCAGGGGCTCCCCGGGCCCACGCACTCAGACACTGCCCCCTGCCACCCGCCCGCCCCAGGGCAGGGACCAGGCACCCGGGACATCCTTCGCCCCAGCACTCCTGACACCACTCAGCCCAGCCGCCTGAGCCTGCTGGCCGCCCCCTGTGGGAGCCATCAGATGGTTCGTGCTCAGGTTTCCCCTCTCGGCCTCCTGACTGGGTCCGCTCTTTCCCGTGTGGCCTGGCATGGTCTAGCGTGGCCTGGTGTGGCCTGGCGGGGTCTAGCACGGCCCAGCGGGGTCTAGCACGGCCTGGTGTGGCCTGGCGTGGTCTAGCACGGCCAGGCGGGGTCTAGCACGGCCTGGTGTGGCCAGGCGTGGTCTAGCGTGGCCAGGCGTGGTCTAGCGTGGCCAGGCGTGGTCTAGCACGGCCAGGCGTGGTCTAGCATGGCCTGGTGTGGTCTAGCATGGCCTGGCGTGGTTTAGCGTGGCCCGGCATGGCATGCCCCTCCACTTGGGAACTTGACCAGCTCCTGTTTTCCATGGCCACCGTCTCCCATCTGTCGGCCTCCCCACTGTGGACACTGAAGCCTGCGCCCTCATGCCCAGCGGGAAGGTGTGGACGCTGAGGCCAGGCCACTGGTCTCTGATTGGAGCCGCTTGCTCGCTCCTGTCTCGCCCGTCGGGTGGGACAGGGACAGCCCCACAGGCTCCGTGTGAGGTTCCTGGGATGAGTGTAAAGCGTCCACACAGCCACCTGCTCAGCCCCCAACACCCCGCAGGCCACGGCAGAGCCCACGTCCTGCCCTCCCAGCTCGGTGACGGCGAGGTCTCCTCGTTCTCCACCCAGATCCCACGGAAGGTGAGGAGGTCCCGGAAGGAAAGGAACGTAGCCGCCCTCACGTGTCCCGAGGGGAGGACGGGGCAGCTTCCACGGGGCAGGCTGCTCTGGCCCTGGGAGCACAGCCGTGAGTGAGACCCGCTCCTGTGCTGTCGCAGCAGCGACGACCCAGGTGGATGACGGCTACGCATTCAGCGAAGGGCCTTCCCTGCCGCCTGTCCCAGGCCCTGGGCGGCCACGGGCCGGGCGGGGATGCGGCTGCTCCACCAGCTGATCTGGAGGCGTCACTGGGCGACGACAACACAGACGGATAAACAGAAAAACACCCCTGTCCATCAGCCCCTGCGTTCAGGCAGAGTGAACCCCAGCACAGGCCTCGGTCACAGAGAAGGGGAGGGCAGCGGTGCTCGGGCCTTGGGGAGCGGAGGGGAAATGGGTCTGTGGGGGCTCTTGGCTCACAGAGAGAAGACCCACTTGGGTTTCATGTGTCCTAAGCCCGCAATTCCCAGCAAGAGCCGCGCCCACACCAGTTCCCAAGCAGGAGGGTCCCACCGGGTGTAGGTCCCAACCAGCTCCATGACCCCCAGCACCAGCGCCCCCCAGAGGGAGGACTCCCACCTGCTATCCCCCTTGGCCCAGGTCCAACCCCAACCCTAACCTTAACCATAATGCAAGTCAAACCCTAACCCTAACCCTAACATTAATGCAGGTCAAACCGTAACCCTAAGCCGAACACCCCCAGCACCAGATCCAACCTAAAGAGAGAACTCCCACCTGATAGCCCACTCAGCCCCATGTCCAACCCCAACCATAACCTTAACCATACTGCAGGTCAAACCCTAACCCTAACCCTATCACTATCCTATCCATATCCTTAACCCTAACCCTATCTGTATCCCTAACCCTGACCCTGTCCCTAACCCTCACCTTAATCATATCCCTATCCCTAATCCTGATCCTAGCCCTATCCCTAACCCTATCCCTATCCCTATCCCTGACCCTATCCCTAACCCTAACCCTGACCCTATCCCTAATTCTGTCCCTAACACTAACCCTGACCCTATCCCTGACCCTGACCCTATCCCTATCCCTGACCCTATCCCTAACTCTGACCCCATCCCTGACCCTAACCCTATCCCTAGAGATAGTGTTAGGGATAGGGTCAGGGTTAGGGATAGGGTCAGGGTTAGGGTCAGGGATAGGGTCAGGGTCAGGGATAGGGTCAGGGTTAGGGCCTGGATGTCATTGCTCTGCCTGCATGTCCTGATCCAGCGGCCGAGAAGGTTAACGTCATGGCAACCTCCCCCGGGGTCAGGCGCTGCTCCCGGTTCCTCCCACGGGGCGCGGCCACGGGCGCGGCCACGGGCGCGGGGTCCGCCATGGCAGGAAATTTCAGGTACACGCTGAGGAACAGGCCCACAGTAAGGCAAACAATGTCACGCTCACTTCATCGTTGTTAAAAGCATCACAAGTGGTTTATTGGTTTTTAAAAAGGAAAAATAAGAAAGACCCGATGGCATCTCTGTCGTGTGCATCTACCCAGTGGGCACAGCCCGGCGGGGACGCCTCGCGGCTGCAGCAGGCCACACCCTCTGGTGCCTGTGGGGTGGGCACCGAACGTGACCTCACGCGTGTCAACGAGATGGCTGTGGGTGGGGAAGTGCAGGGGAACCAGGTGCCACCTTATTTCCAGGTTCTGGGCCCAGATACTCTTCACAGAAAGAATGACATGAGCTCCAGGGAGAACGCCAATGGCCAGGGGCAGCCTGCCCGAACAGCGGAGAGGGGATCGCAGGGTTCAGGGTCAGAGGGCGGTCACCCACCGGCACTGGCGAGCGGGGGCAGGGACTGTGTCCAGGGGACGCCATGCCAACCCTGACCTCGGGCCTGGACGGTGTCTGGCACTTACAGGCGGGTGGGGTGGGCGTCAGATGCAGGGCTCCCGAAGGTGTCTGGAGACTGCACTCCCCCAACTCCCCCTGCCCCCAGCCCCCCCCATCCTCGGGCAGAGTCTGGAGGTGGCCTCTGCAGGAGGCACCCAGAGCCTCCACTGGTGGGCAGGGGTCAGGGAGGGAGCACAGGGACCCCTTCCCAGCTGTGGTCTCAGTCCCCACTGTGACACAGGGCGCTGGACTGGAGGGGTCCCCCACTGTGTCCAGGGGTCTGTTCTGGGGTAACGTCCCCCGGGCTTCACCTGGACTCACCCAGCCCAGCCAGCAGGTCACTAGCCTGGGCTCTGGTGTCCCCGGGAAAGGCTAGGCCGGGCCACCAGAGGGCCCTGCCGTGTAAGGGGGGCGGGGGGGGCGGGGGAGGGAAGGACCAGTTCAGGGAGGGAGACTGATTCCGGGTTCAAGGCAAAGGGGAGAGTCCCCCTACGTGTTCACACGGGGACCCCGAGGCCGCGTCCCTGATCCGGCACCTGTGAGTGGGCTGCCCTGCCCGGGCCGAGGGCTGGGGCCGAGGCCCCTCAGCCAGGCTGCTGTGAGGCCTTGGGAAGGTCACGCCCTCTCTGGGCCTGGGTGCTGCGTTTCCTGAGGAGGAGCACGGGCTCTCCAACCCCCAACCTCGCAGGTTCCCGGGTGCGATGTGGTCCCTGAAGCGGTAAGAACTGCAGCAGCTGGGCCTCCCCAGGGCCACCGCGCCGGGAGGAGGGCGCCTGCGGGGGGCGCCGCCCACTGGCCGGCTGCGGAGCTGCAGCACTGTGGCTCCCAGGGGAAGGCCAGCCTCGGCCCCTCTGGCCCAGGGGGAAGGGTGCCCAGAGGCCACGAGCAGCCCTGGGCATTCTGGGAAAGGGGTCCCCGAGACTGGGGCTCTGGCCGCCACCCCAATGGCTACGGCTGTAAGGTAGGAAGTTGAAAGAAACCCCACAGCTCCTACAGAGGTGCCCCATCACCTGCAGTTTGGGGTGGGGGTGGGGCGGCAAGAGGTGTGGCGGGGCCTGGCCGCAGGCTCCCCAATGCTGGAGGGCGGGCACCCGTGGAGACGCACTCAGGCGGCCTGCCCTCCGTGGGGCGTGACGCGTGTCCGGGTGCAGCGCGGGGCTGAGTGGGTCTGCGGTTCCGGAGGGCGGGCAGACAGGCAGGCTCAGCTCCCCGACCCGGGGGACCCGCCTGGCCACCACAGGTCAGGCCTGGGCTGGGGTCTCAGGGTCCGGAGCAGCCAGGCAGCCTCGCGGAGTCCAGGGGCGGAGACGTGCCCAGGTCGGGTGGGCAGCGGGTGGCCGTGGGTGGCCGTGGGCTGGGGTCTGGGGAGGGCGGCAGTCAGCTGCCCCCCGTGCGTCCTGAGCAGAGGCAGGGGCGTGGGGGCCTGGCGTGGGGACAGCTGGAGGAGGAGGCTCTTCCGTGGTCTCTGAGCGATGCGGGTCCCAGCACCGGCGCCGGCCGCGTGGGTGGTCCGTGCCCGGGGAGGGGCCCCGGAGGGGAGGGGGCTCTGGGCGCCCGCAGCCATCAGCTCACCAGGTAGCTGTGCATCTCGCGGGAGTTGATGCTGAGGACCACGCCCGAGTGGTTCCCTAGGAAACAGACGCCGTGTGGGCACAGGCCAGGCGGCGGGGCAGCGAGGGCGCGCTGGGCGTGGGCACACGGGGGCCCAGCGGGGCCGTGCGGGGGGTGCCCGAGTGCAGGGCGGCGGTGGCGGGGTCTCAGGGCTCCGGTGGGTGACTGAGCGGGTGCCCAGTGCTGCCACGCGCTGTGGGCCCCACAGGCCTCTGAGGTGAGGCGCTGGCAGCCGCCCTGTCCACCCACTGACCTGTGGCAGGGCCACCCGGGGCGTTGGCCGCAGGGGAGGCAGGAGCCGCCCTGCCCCCTCCAGGTGCGGGCACTGCGGCCGGGAGGCGGCAGGAGAGAGGGGCACAGTGATGGGCTCTGAGACAGGCACAGC